GGAACTAGTGATAGGGAGTGAAGTAGTCGAGCGTGTAGATCACTTCACTTATCTGGGGAGTCTCATCAGTGCTGACGGTCTGGTGACTGACGAAATCTCAGCTCGGATACAGAAGGCTCGATTGGCTTTTGCCAAGCTGCGTCACTTATGGCGTAGGCGAAATATCGGTTTGATAATCAAAGGACGAGTGTACTGTGAATAATTTCGCTCCGTCCTACTGTTTGGCTGTGAAACATGGCCGTTAAGAGTAGAAGATGTTCGTAGGTTACTAGTATTCGATCATAGATGTTTAAGAAGGACTGCTCGTATACCGTGGGACGGCCGAGTAAGCAATGCTGTCGTTAGGAAACGAGTACTAGGTAAGGATGGCAGATCAATAGATGAAGTATTGAAACTTCATCAGTTGAGGTGGTTGGGACATGTGTTACGTATGCCTAACCACCGACTGCCTCGACGAGCTATGTTTTGTGGTGTAGGAGTAGGTTGGAAGAAAGCTAGGGGCGGCCAGACCAAAACATGGCAGAAATCCATGAAGTCACTGACAAGTGGACTGAGTCATGTTAGTAGATGTAGACTACGTGGTTGGGGTCCGCGAGACGAAAGTCATCAATGGTTAGAGACCTTGAATGACATGGCTCAAAATCGTTTGCAGTGGCGCAGATGCATCCACTCTTCGAGCTCTCTGAAATCCTAATCTTCTGGATTCGTCAGCACCTCTGCCTTTCTCTTTCTAACCTTATCGCACTGAATTATTTTTCTTGAATAATATCTTCAAACCCTAGTCTTCTTTATTAACATTAAAACCTCTACTATCTTTATCACTATGTGATTTGATTTGACATTTGCGTCTCTGTGCTAATAATGTGGTATGGCATCATGAACTTATGTACATACGTATGAAGTTCTACGTTGCAACTGACTGACTGACTGACTGATGCTAAGATTAAAATTCAATTATGCATATTCTACACTCGGTAAACCTACTTATTTTCTCACATTCAACTGTATCCGATTTACTAGTTGAATCGAATTTTTTCTAATCTTAAGCTTCAACCACTTTTCAAAAATCAATTCAACGACTTCGTGTCAAAAAGACAACTTTGAGTTGTTTGCTTTCCTCTATCTCGTTATGTTTGACAATTGATATGCTTGAAACTGTTACGAGTTCACCTTAGTTGATAAACGAAAACTAAACGACAAGACGCGATAGGCTACTCTAATCCGAGCGACCCAAGCCCCAACTAACGGTATCATAAAGTCTTGTTATAGCGTAGAAAGCGTATTTCACAAACACACAGAAAATATGAGGTTTTATACAGAAAATGCATATTTATACAGTTAGGTTGACTGTGAATACTAACCAATAGGAAAGAACATTTAAAAATATGTGAACTTGATAGTTTAGGACGACCTTGAATAGAAATTGACCAATAGGAGTGGACTAACAAAATAATTTTTTTAGGATATTTAATGAATATCCTAACATCTATATACACTATCATATTTTAATTTATAATTATCCCCAAACTGTCACTTCAGTCCATCTGATTGAATTAGTCATCTAAAAAATCTGTCTGAAATATTTTTTCTACTTAAAGAAACCATCTAATCACAGTAGGTTTTGATCAACAGTCACTGAAGTTCATTTCATGCATCGATAGCTTTGCCTCTTTTAACACGCTGTAAATATTATTTATATTCGTAAAAATTCCCAAATTCACTTACATTATCTGTCTAATTGACATTTATAACTCCTCTTCATCCTACTGTTCCCGACCGAAGCTGCTACCTTGACGTGGTGGTCGGGCTTGCCTATCGTGATGACCCAACCGAGCTATACTGGCTGGAACACATGTTCCTGCAGGTCCTACAATGCCAGGCAGGTCGATTGGAGAACGATGAGACTAAAAGCAGCTACCCAAGGTCTGAGGGCGAAGTCGTACTGCTGACTGACTGTGGAGGGGTGTGACAGCAGTAAGGTGTTTCCCTCGGACAACCAGCATCTGCAGCGATGCTGCCTTCTCACAAGGAAGAAAGGGTTAGAAAAGGTCGGCCCTAAAAATGCCACACCTCCCCTACCTCACGGATTTCCGTCTCCTTGGGTAAGGGTGCCCACTAAGGGCCCTTAAGAACGGAGCTAATCCTCTAAAAACGTTTCATAAAAAGGCCGTGCGTGACCGGCCTCAAGCAGTTGTCCCTTGGACTCTGAGATCACGCTCCCAGGTCTCCGAGACCAACACTAATCTATCTTCCTTTTCAGTTCCCTCAAGAAACAACCTTCCACGGTGTGGGCAGCCGAGAAGTGATAACCGCCCTCATACCCGCAACAGCACACGAAACTTCATCCTACTGTTACTTGTGTTATGATAATATTCATTAGAAATTTTCTTAATATTCCTCGTTTGTCAGTGTTGACTTCTTTTTTTTTAAGACTATAGTGAATAAATTACTTTTTTTTGCATATTGATAAAACATTGTTCTTTTTTTTTTCTGAAGATATATTGGTGATGCGGCTTCATCAGTTTACGATACAGATGATGACGATGAAGACGATGGCGGAAATGATGATGACGATGATGATGATGATGATGGCGGTGTTGTTAGAAAACACAAAATGACGAATCCTAATCAAGTTGAAACCAATCGTAACAATCAAGATCTTGGCGTAATAAGTCATGCACAATTAACTATACCAAATTCAGTGGATCAAAATTTGCATTTATCTCACAATACTACTACCACCAATACTACTAATAACGTTAGACAATATCAACGTATGAATAATAATTATGCTAATCTATTTCAACTTGACAAATGTAATCGTTCAAATTACACGAATAATAATAAATTAGCTTTGAATTCAATACATCATCACCCTACAACAACTAACATTGGTTCACTTTCATATTCATCAACTGTAAACAATAATTGTACTAGTATTCCTTCAGGAAATGATATTAGTAATAATATGTCTCCTGTAGTTCATATGAAAAATGCATCAGTGAATAAAATTGATCCTATAAATGATAATAGTAAAAATGATAAATCTATTCATCAAATGAATCTCAGCAATTTATCTGATACTCAATCGACAATTGTTACAAATAGCAATCAGCAGCATGACCAATTGATCATTGCTGATCAACAATCTGGTGCTGTTGTACACTTACATCGAACTATTAGTATTGCTGATAGTCATACAAGCGGTGGACGGTAAGCGTGTATTTATGTGTGTGTGTGTGAGTGTGCGTGGGTGTGTATATAAGTAGTATTATTCGGTAATTAGTTCTTTTGTTTATTCATTTTATGTTAATGTTATAATGTTAATCCGTACTTGTTTATTCTCATTTAGAACAATAGTATTGTTTCTACATAGATCAACTTCAAGCTTTACTCTATTATTTAGACAGAGATATACTCTAGGATATTGGGGTGATCAAAGTGAAATGGACATCATAAGTAAAAATTAAAAAATGTATCGTGTGATGACAAGTGTGCTAGTTTTGATAAGAATTAAGAAAGACTTAGAAAGAATAGATGTTTCTAACAGTAGAATCATGTATGGAACAATGTTGGCCACGTTAAATACCCAGAAATCCCTTGAAAGAGGTCCTAATTTTGGACCTCGTATTTTCTGAGTGCTTGTAGAATACACTTTCTATGCTATATCAAGACTTCTTGATATAGTTAGCAGGGCTCGGGAATAGCCTATCGTGTCACACTGCATCATTTGTCTTCACTCTATGTTTACCGACTAAGGTGAACTCGTAATAGTTTCAAGCATATCAATGAAGTACTTCGATAATCAATCGCACTCATATATTGAGCTTTGTACTCATTCATTAAAAGAGAAACATAGTTGGATGTTTTGCAAGTAGAGCTAGGAAGATATTCTCAGACGACTACATAAACAAGGAACTGGAACATATCCTGTTATGCTTATCAATTGATATGCTTGAAACTATTACGAGTTCACCTTAGTCGGTAAACGTAGAGCGAAGAAAAATGATCCAGTGACACGATAGGCTACTTTAATCCGAGCGTCCCAAGGCCCCACTGAGTAGAGGAAGAAGTATTGACAAGATGTAGAAAGTGTATTCTACAAGCACCCGGAAAATACGAGGTCTTTCAAGCACACAAATCGAGTTTATTTATACATGATATAAACGTCTCTGGGAGAGCTACAAAAATAGCGTAGTAAAATAACACATCAACCAATAACAGTCAAGGGTTTTCTGAGTGGGAAATGTAATCTCATGATCAACTGATCGATCATCTTATACGCGAAAGCATAAAATCCAAAATTAGAACCTTTATCAAGTGAGTTCTGGGGATCCTACGTCCCCAACATATATGTTGATTAGAATCTAATATCCACAAGGTTTCCTGAAAACGCATCTGTTTATGCTGAACAAGAATGTAGTGACAGTGACGGTTACTAAAAAAAAAACCTCTCTTGAAGCGGGGATGTAGTTTTTGGTGTACTACGAGACAGACTGATCGTTTTCTAACAAATACCTCCCTTCATCATAATTGGCAAAAGTGGTCAAGACCTTACACAGCTCCATTCTATCTCACCCTTTACACACTGTAGAAGTTATCGAGATTTGAACTAATAATCGCCTTATCTCTTCGGTGACCGAATTCACCCTATCGTTATTATTATTTTCCATACTCTTTGTTTTTCTTCACCTCTTCTCTTCACTTGCTAGTTATGTGAACACTTCTTATTACGTAATCTTTGTGATTTTTACTGTATGAATGTCATTTCACTGTCTGTTTTTCCAACTGAAACATTATTTGAAGCCTCTATTATTTTCTTATCACAACTTCTACATCTGTCATCAGACTATCGATTTTAACATTTGACTTGAGTTACGTAGTATTTTTCATTGTGGATTACCGGCTCATTAATTGTCTTCAATGTGTATCCTCTTCATGATTACCCACGTATCAACTTGACAGACAAGGTTCGATTAGCAATAAATAGGTTAGACAAGCATGATATTATATTGATCAATAGTAACTCAGTGATCATCAGTTCATTCTCAATGATCTACACATTTCTTGGTACATTTTATACAATAATTTATCGACAATTGTCATACACAATAATATTAGTGTACTACTAGTTAGATATTTATTGTTTTACAAAGACTTTTCCAACTAGTAGAGTTAAATTCATGAAGTCAGTGACAAGTGGATTGATTCATGTTGGTAGATGCAGACTACCTGATTGGGGTCCGCGAGTCGAAAGTCACCGATTGTTAGAGACCTTGAACTACATGGCTCAAAATCGTTTGCTTGTGGTGCAAGTGCATCCACTCTTTGTGTTCTCTCAAATTCTAACCTAATGAATTCCTCATCATCTTTAGCTTTCTCTTTCTCACTGAATTATACTGCTTGAATATTATCTTGGAACCCTATTCTTCTTCATTACTAGTAAAACTTCTAACTATCTCTACCACTATTGGATTGTAACTGACAGTTGCGTGCGTCTCTGTACTGATGTACGAAGTTGTACGTTGTAACTAATTGACTGATTGAGTAGAATTAAATCATTTTCTATTTCCAATAGAAAGTAACAGAAAATAATAGCCTAGACCATAATAAAAAAATTGATAAATTCTGATAAGTTCCGTCAAATTAAGTTACATTATGATTTAAGTCTAACTATTGCTCACATTGTTTACATCCTATGAGTGGTAAGGTCTGTGGTGGTGTTTCGTTCTCTGAGCTGGTTGTTTTGGTTGTGGAGCTTTCATTGTTCATAGGACAAAGTGGACGACCTCTTCATCAGCTCCGTTTACGTGAACATCAATTAGCAGTCAAACGGCACGACAACGCTTCGCTTATATCAATCAATACATACCGACAATTATGGACACACATTTGATTAGAACAATGTGGAAATACTGGATAGGGGGGAGGAAAAAGAACACTAGAGAATTTTTAGAAGCTTGGCACTCAGGTCAATCAATCAGCAAACACATCGATATTGACCCAATTTATCAACTAATCAAGGCAAGTATAGGATCAAGAAACAGATCAAAAGGGGGAGGCAATCAAAACAAATGTGCAAACAACGACAGGTCAAAAGTCAACAGCAACCAATCAAGATCGAGGTCAGCAGAACAAGCTACAGATCAAACGTGGAGAAATTCGAATGCTTCACTTCTCTATCTGAAGTTTTTGCTGATGATGTTGTTCAGAAGAAGAATAACAATGAAAGCTCCACAACCAAAACAACCAGCTCAGAGAACAAAACACCACCACCACAATCATCCACCTGAGCTACAAGTTTTCTCCACCAGTGGTAAGGTTTATATCGAATGCTTAGAACAACTTGCCTCATATATATTTTATGCTCCTATTATTATCCTTAATTTCATTGAATTTAGATCCGAATATGATAATGTAGACAAGTCAGGCTCTCAAACTGAAAACAATTCCTTATTACGTTCATCTATTGATTATTGTCATCAATTGGATTTAACAAATTATGCATTAAACCAAAATGTGCCAACTACTACTAATGAGCATATATTATCATCATCATCATCATCATCACCACGAATATCAACAACAACAACAACAGCAATGTCGAAACTAAATGCATCCTTGTCATCCACTCGGCCAATCAAATCTCATTCTAACAGAAATGATCACATCAACAACACCAACAACAACAACAACAACAGCAGTGATAGTAGACACACTGCGAAATCATCTCGAACTCCGCAATCACTGCATACATTCACTGAACAACAGCAACAACAAAGCCACAGTTTGTTTGATGCACAAATTGCAGCTGAAGCTAGACGAATTACTAGACAACTACGTGTTATGGGTTGGATGCCTGTTAATAGAGAACAATTTCAAATTGACACTGTCACTAGTGAACATTCAGACAATGGTAGTATTCAATGTGAACAACAGTCGATAAGCTCTAATCGCTTGAATAATACAAGTTAGTTTACTTTTTCTTTTTATAAGCAGAAAACGAAAAGCAACCGAAATCTGTTGATATTTTTTTTTAAATTTAAATAATGATAAGGTAGGAGAAGGAGAAGAAGGTTGAAGTGTTCTTGTTTTCTGCTAATCCATCCATCCACCGCCAGCTGTTAGCTAAAGGATTCAATCTCATTCATTCATATCCTCTAGTTAAACAAGTTTGAATATCTTGCGTACGAGAATATTGGGTTTAAAAACCGTTCTTATACAGCAAATTGTACACTATAAACTTTTCATTCTTTCATTATTGTTCACTGTTTTTACTACATAAAACATCCAAGGCAATTTATTCAGTGTCTATTTGAAAAAAGATAGGCTTATTAAGTGAGGAGTTAGTTCATCTTCTGCTTAGTTATTTAGCAGTTGAATATACAAAACATGCCTGTTCCATCTTGTTTTATTCACTTCTTGGATATCTGAATCACAAACTGATAAAATCATCGATATGTTAGGTCAACTAAAAGTCTACAGTGAGAAATCATGTATTTGGTTATATCAATCAATGACTAGCAATCTATGAAATTCAATGTTACGGGTTCAACTTAGTCGAATAACGAGAACAAAACAATGAACCAACGTTCAGTTAGGCTACTGTAATCCCTTGACCAAATTGAATCAGCAAGAAGTTTTGATATAGTGTAGAAAGTGTATTCTACAAACACAGCCCAGCCAGCACACAATGCAATCAAGCATTCAAATTGCGTTTATTTATACTCTATAGAGATATCTCTTTGGGACAGTCACAAAAATAGCACACTGAAATGACACAGTAACCAATCACAGTCAAGGATTTTCCAGGTGGGAAAATATGGTCTCAAGGTCAACTGATCGGTCCATGAAATTAATCCAAAATAAAGATATTTATCAAGCGAGTTTGGGGGGATCTAACATCCCCAACATTCAATTCGCTGACTTAATGTACTTGCCTTATTTCATGTAAACATGTCATTCCACCTACTGGGGTTTCAATTAATACCGAGTGAAAAGTGTTTGTACTGTACTTGTGCCAAGTATTCGAAAGTGGTCAGTTTGAAGTATTGAATTAATTAATGCTGAATCGAAAATAGACATATAGTTCTGTTTTATTATGAGTCAGTCAGCTTCCGAGCCATATAAATTAGAAGCGATATCAACTAACCATCCAGTCATTCAACGACAACATAGAACTTCGTATGTACATACATCAGTTCAAGTTGCCATATCACATTAGTACAGAGATATAATTGTCACTTCAAACCCCATAGTAGTAGAGGTAGTTCAGGTTTCAGCAGTAATCGCAGAGATTAGGGTTCGACGATATTATTCAAGAAGTAGGATCTAGTGAAATAAACTTACAAAGAAAAAGATAAAGGTAATGAGAATTTAGAAGTTTAAGATTTGAGAGAGCACAAAGAATGAATACACCTGCGCGATTGCAAATGGTTTTGAGTCGTGTCTCTTATCATCGATTACTATGATCTCACGGGCTCCAACCAGGTAGCCTACATCTACTGACATCGATCACTTCAGTCGTCAATGACTTCATTGATGTGTGCCATGATTTGGTTTGGTCGCCCCTAGATTTCTTCCAACCCTACTCCTATGCAACAAAACATAGCTTGGCGAGAAAGTCTATGGTTAGGCATGCGCAACCCATGTCCCAACCACCTCAACTGATGAAGTTTCACTACTTCATCTATTGACCTTCCATCCTTACCTAGCACTTGTTTCCTAACGACAACATTGCTTACTCGTTTATCCCATGATACACGTGCAATGCTTCGGAGACACCTTTGATCGAAAACCGGTAACCTACGAATATCTTCTACTCTGACTACCTAGCCATTATGTGTTGATTTTTAGTAAGTTTTTCCAGTTTTATTTAGTTTATGAAATACATTTATTTTCATAAAAATATTCCCTTTAGGTGATGCAAATATATTACCAACTTCTGGTCTGCATAGACCTCATTTATTTTTATTACCGGGAAGCTCTCATGTTAGTCGATCATGTTCGCGTCAACTATCTTTACGAACTGGTAGATCACGCCGTCATACGGCTACTGGTGGTGGTAGCAGCTTTGGAAGCGGTCTTGCCAGTGAAACAGTAACTACTGTCACTTCACAACTAGATGACGATGATGATAATGAGCGAGCACTGGATATGAACAATGGAGAATACGATATTGACTCTGATATCATTAATAATAATAACAATACGAATAATGAACGAAATCAATTTTTCACTGGATCGGAATTTAATGGTGATGAAGACATTGTAAATGATGGAATCCCTTGGGAATATGGTAAGTTCCTTATATTTTACTCTACTTTGTCGATTTGTGTCAGTCAGACCCATTTACTGCTCAACAGTTCACTCTGTCCTACTTAATATATGGGTGTGAAAAATAGCCACTAAGAGTAGAGGATGTTCGTAGGTTACTGGTATTCAATTATAAGTGTCTTCGAAACATTTCTGGTATAACTTGGGACGGTCGAATGGACAATTCTGATGTTAGGAAAAGGGCACTGAGTAAGGATGACAAACCAGTTGATAAAGTAGTTAGTCTTCAGCAGTTCAGGAGGTTAGGACATGTTTTACGAATGCCTAACCACCAACTACCTTGATGAGCGATGTTCTGTAATATCTGAGTAGGCTGGGAAAGAGCTGGGCGTAAATTCATAAATTCATTGACGAATGGACTGAGCCATGTTAGTAAGTTTAGACTATCAGGTTAGGGGTCAGCGAGACAATGGTAATCGGTTTTTACAGGTTTTAGACGTTATAGCTCAAAACCGTTCGGAATGACATAGGTGGATCTATTCTCTTTCTTCTGAATTCCTCGTGATCTTTCTTTTTTTAAACTTGCTTCACTGGTCAATATTTTCTGGCATCATATCATCTGTGCCTAATCCTTTTGATTACCACTGATACTGTAACTAGCTCCCGACCGAAGCTGCTACCTTGACGTGGTGGTCGGGCTTGCCTGTCGTCATGACCCAACCGAGCTATACTGGCTGGAACATATGTTCCTGAAGGTTCTACCATGGCACAAATCCATGAAGTCATTGACAAGTGGACTGAGTCATGTCGGTAATTGTCGACTACCTGGTTGGGGTCCACGAGATGATAATAATCGATGGTTAGAGACCTTGAATGACATGGCTCAAAATCGTTCGAAATGGCGCCGGTGCATTTATTCTCTGTGTTCTCTCAAATCCTAATCTTCTGGATTCTTCAACAACTCTAGTTTTGACTTTCTAAACTTTTCTCATTGAATCATACTTCTTGAATAATATCTTCTCATCCTAACCTCTCCGATTACTTCTAATACTTTTACTACCTCTTCTACTATTGGATTTGAATTGACAATTATATCTCTGTGCTAATATGTGGTATGGCGACATGAACTGATGTACTTACGTACCAAGTTCTACGTTGCATCTGACTCTGACTCCACTTTGTTGTTTGTTGACTGACTTACTGTAAATGTACGATCGGTTACTGACTGGGTATTTTCAATGGTCAAGCAACTACTGTAAATCTCGGTGTCAGGTTCTATCCTTGTTCTGATCATGGATGGGCACTGCTGAACAATAGTACTGGAATGAAACGCTCTCAGATTCTCCCTGATTTTAAATGATTTCCCAGCTGAGATCACTTTTTTTTTCTAAACAATATTTAAAAAACTAAAATTTATGCAGATGTTGAAAAATGGACTTATCAAAATTTTGGCCAGCCACAATTGGGTTGTTTACTTGTTCGACCACGATCATTTAGTACAGCATGTTTGAACATTATGTCAGCTATTAATAATACAAATTGTGACCTGCCCCAGAATGACGATGATAATGACGAACATAATAGTAAAGATACAAAGATGCAGAATCATCAATGTTGGAATTTCGATAATAACGTTGATGAATATGAATCGGGACGTGATTTAATGAAAATTTCTAAGTAAGTTTTTTAATTCATTTCACTTCATGTTTGATTTGATTTGATTATTGAATTGATTTTTGAAATGCAACACCTTGAGATGGTGGAGAAAACTTGTAGCTCAGGTGGATGATTGTGGTGGTGGTGTTTGGTTCTCTGAGCTGGGTGTTTTGGTTGTGGAGCTTTCATTGTTCTTCTGCTGAACAACATCATCAGCGGTACAAACTTCAGATAGAAGTGAATGGCATTCGAATTTCTCCACGTTTCACCTGTAGCTTGTTCTGCTAACCTCGATCATAGGTGACACAGGATCAAGAAACAGATCAAAAGGGGGGTGCAATCAAAACAAAGTTGCAAACAACGACAGGTCAAAAGTCAACAGCAACCAATCAAGATTGAGGTTAGCAGAACAAGCTACAGGTCAAACGTGGAGAAATTCGAATGCCATTCACTTCTATCTGAAGTTTGTACCGCTGATGATGTTGTTCAGCAGAAGAACAATGAAAGCTCCACAACCAAAACAACCAGCTCAGAGAACAAAACACCACCACAATGCAACACCTCTTATGCAATTGATTTTTTAGTAAATGGGCTGGTTGAGTCCCATCCATTCAATTATTACTTATGATCAGTAGTAGTAGTAGGTCTATGAGAAACCTAAAATAGCATACATACACAGTATTTAAGTGTTTACAAGTTGGCAAATAACTCAGCTTTTGTGGTTAGTACTGAGGATCAGACAAATCTGATGTTACACATTTTTGAAACCATGAATCGATCAATGTTAGACCACCATTAGAAACCTGGAAGCACTGGACGGCCGTTTCGTCCTGATATGGGACTCCTCAGCAGTGCGCATCCAAGTTAGACATTAACACCGTTAGATACCGGCTCAGTGGTCTATCGGTTAGGGCGTTCGCGCACAATACCGAAGGTCCTGGGTTCGAATCCTGCGGGGTGCAGGAGTCGTGGATGCGCACTGCTGAGGAGTCCCATATCAGGACGAAACGGCCGTCCAGTGCTTCCAGGTTTCTAATGGTGGTCTAACATTGATCGATTCATGGTTTCAAAAATGTGTAACTTAACAATCTTCACAACCCCGTAATGCAAATCTGATGTTGTTGATTACCTCTGAGTGATCAGTAGTTAGTGTAAATACGTCAATCTTATAGTAGGAGAGGTCAGTGACAACTTGAACATTTCAGTAACAAATTTTCACAACCTTAACATCGGTTGACTCCATTTAAAACCATGTAAAGAAGAGTATCAGCCTTCTCAAGATTGGGACTATTTTTTGTCTTGCTTGAAGAAAAATGGATATGAAACCTAGTTTCTTGACTTCGTCTATTTGCCTCCTAGCGTCTAACAATGAAACGCAACTTTTCGTGTGGGGTTGGTTTGAGTTGTTTTTTTTCAAAGCTAATTGGCAGATAGTAAGTATTAGGTGACAGTTGTATGATTCATTAGTCTTAACTTGCGTTAGTAATATGTATCGTTTACCATCGCATTGTTAAATGGCTGTAAGCTTAAATTGTAAGATAGTAGTCGTCTGCAAACATGGATCTTCAAATATAGTTACTACAACAAACAGAGATAAACCAAACTTCATTTACGAAATCAATTGAACCAACTATAAGGTGCTACAAAGCATCACATAAAATAAAGCGGTCACCACTCTACGTCTACGTCTACGTGAACATCATTTTTCAGTAAAACGTCGCAACACAACGTCTGTCATGTCCACAGAATATGAACAACTATGAACACTGCTTCGATTTGGAAAAAATTGAATTATTTTGAACAGAAGTAACTGAGAGAATAATGTTATTGGGATTCGTAGAAGCATAGTGTTCTGACGCATAAATCAATAGAAATTGAAGGATATGTAGTGTGAGTGCTTTCATTTCTAGCAGCACACAGGGCTCGTCCCTATTGTCTTTTGACCTTGTCAGTCAGTCCTTCGCTCATATCTGCGTTGCTTTTATTCGAGTGTGTGCGCATGCACGCCTATCTCGCTTATTACACATGTCAGGCTCATTTTTTTTCCTGACTATAAATTCTTAGTCATGCTTAATTCGAATAGAGTTGGCTCTCTCGCCTTCTCCTCATCAGTTCACTTCACTTCGCTTAGCTACGTAGTATGCTTTTCGTTTTCATGTCTGCATGAAAATTTGTCTGTCTGAAGTAAACTCATTCAACCGAATCCATATATTGCTTCTAATTACCGCCGTCACACAAATGGGGTTGGTCAAAGTATAGTATGTGGAAACTGATGGAGAGATTTATTTCATAGCATACTCGATTGATCATAAATAATAAAGCCAGGTCGCGAGGCACCAAAATAGTAGTGAACCGTACATCGGATCAAATAACGCAACAGAACAAAGTGGTTAGCCCGACATCGAATCTAACGCAGCCAACAGCATATCTATCTATGTTATCTGTTAACACGCTTCTGTAAGGCGCATACTAAAGGTGAGTAAAGTAAAAGTTACAGTTCAAATTGTGATCCTGACAAAAATATTACACTTTCATTACATATATATATAGTATCCACTAGGTAAGTAAATCAACGTAAAAAAATGCTAGATCTTGCTTGTTGCATATGTCTGAAATATTAAGAGATAGTTGTGCTATCAGTTCATAAATCAACACATATTCTATCCAATTATTTATTACTGATAACGGTATATAACATTTATTTTTTGATTAATGGTATTATAGGGCTGAAAATTCTATCCAACAAATCAATGAACATACTAGTCCACGTTTAAAACGTTTACAAAAACGTACTGACCTTGTACGTAAATTGCTACCGCCTAATTTGCATCAATTTATTCTACCTAGTTGTATTAGTTCATTAAGTCGTTCAGCATCATCAATGTGTACATCGAGTCATTATTATTATTATACAACAACAACAACAACTAAATCAACAGATATGATATTTTTGTCATTATCACATAGAACACCGTATTGTCTACGTCGTCAGCGTCAACATCGTCATCAACATCATCAACGTCATCAGCAACAACAGCAACCACATGAACAAATTGATTATATCAGTGATGATGATGATAAGGATAATGATGGGCATGATGTTGGCCATATAGCTACTACTATGCATAAACTATTGAATTCAATTCAACACTATAATAAATATCCACAATACCAACAATATTTCACGAAATTTTCAATAGACAATCGTAAATGGGCAAGTGATCCAGAATTACAATTGACATCAATCTACCTATGATGGATGATATGATACACTTACACTTACACACACACACACACACACACACAATTGAACATTGACAATTGAACATGAATTAAACAATTTTGATTTTTTTTTTTTTCAATTTTATACATTCTAGTTGTTTATTCTTTTTTCTGAATATTTTACTGTATTCATTTCTCTCGCATTGCTGCTGCTTAACATTGGGTACAGTTTTTTTTAAATTACGGAATCATTTTATACTTTTAAAAAGTTTTATTATTATTACTAATATTATTTATTATTATTTCTTGAATGCTGCCTTATTTTATCCTCTCATCACTATGTTATTGTATTGTATTGTATTGGTCGGTATTAACATACTTTGTTTTTTTAATAATATCCTTTTATTATTATTATTATTATTATTATTATTATTATTATTATTATTATTATTATTATTATTTAGTAAAATCCCGGTACATTTTGCCTTATTTCATGATTAATTAATTCAGCACAGACACCAAGCTCACTCACTCACTCAATCACTGGCTGGTCGGCTGAACGGCTGGTTTGCTGGCTGATATCCATTTTGTTAAATTATGCCTGTATTTCTTCTCTTAAATATAATAAATTGACCTTCAGCTACTTATATACATATATACATATATTGATTATTATTTTAGGGAGCATGAATGAAGCTTAAAACTTACAAATCACTAGGGGTTTGTTTTTTTTAATTCTTCTTTTTATCATTATTCTACTTCAATTTCTTCTCTGCCTGCTTTGTTTGTTTGTTTGGTGGCATACGGAATGTTATCATAGCGCAAATACAATTTATTTAATGTTTTGGTGTATCATTAAAGTGTGGGTTTTGTTTTGTTTTGATTTTTCAAAAAAAACTACTCTAAGTTTGTTCGTTTAGTGGAGCGAAATTTGTTGAATGAATGTTGTTGTTTTCGCCGCCTTTTATTCCACTACCAACAACACGACCACCACTGCTGTATTAGTTATCTTTCTTGTTTATCTGAATTATGTAATTTGCATATTTTACGGGAAAAAAAAACAATCTAGTTTTCTTCTCTTTTTTTTTCGTTTTTTTATGGTACTTGTAATTTAATAAACGTGTTTATATATTATGGTTTTTTTCTCTTTTCTATAAGTGTTATCTTGGTGTTGTTGGCTATGCGTGTGATGCATAATAAGTCTAGAGTAGTAAGTAGTTGAGAATATAATTCTTGTGAAAGTCCACGGAGGTAAAAACTAAGAAGAAGTAACACAGAGCTGTTATTTTCAATGAATTATTATAACATGATATGAGTTATAGTGTGGTCAGACAAAATCTATAGATTGATCAAAGTTAGACATTAACACCTCTGGATTCCGGCCCAGTGTTCCTGAGGTTAGGCGTTGGTGTGCAAGGGTTCGAATCCTGCGAGGTGCAGGATGCAGTGGATGCGCACTGTTGATGAGTCCCATACTATCCGACCAAAATGTATAAATACGCATTATTTGTAACGTTTTATGACCAGGACCGGTCCCGGGTCCGTAAGTCCGGGATCCCGATTCTCTTCTGGACTCGGACCTCGTACTTTATGGATGCTTGTAGAATACATTTTCTACTTCATATCAAGTCTTCTTATTTTTCTTCAATATGGGGGTTGGGATAATCGGATTTGAGTAGCATGTCATGTGGCCGCATCCTCAATCCTCGCTCTCGTATTTCCTAATAAAGTAAACTCGTAATAGTTCGAGTATATCAAGTTGACGTGTTTACGTGCAGGCGTAACACATACAAGGACAAAACGGCCGTCCAGTGCTTCCAGGTTTCTAATGGTGATCTAACAACAATGATTAATTGATGCTTTCAATGTACAGTCGTATGCGGAACATGATATCAAATATTTGTTTGGTCTAGTAGTAGTATATGTATGACATTACCACGACAGACTCCAGTGAAGTGTGTGAATTGTTAAAACTGACAGCATTAAGAGTGTATTATTGAAAAGTAAAACAAAAGATATCAGTACATCTGTTAGTGAGACACATTGGTTGGATTAAAGCACGATGATTCGCTCTTTCGTATCCAATCAGCACTAGCCTATACCGAAGCGAACATTCTAAAATCTTTTCATGTTAAGAAAACTATAAATATACTAAAGTCTTTTTTCCTCGGTACCTTCTATCTTCCTTCTAACGTTCTGATTTAGGAGAACGTCTCGAGTGAACTGGTGTCCGAGAATACTAATCATTAGGAATAGCTGGGTTGTAATAACTACACCAAGTATTAAATGATAAATACTAACATAGTCAAACTTCATTATATGAAATACGAAGTTAGAAGAACAAAAAAGTAAGACTACATATGTATGATTTCTTTGTAAGAAAATGTATTCAAGCAGAATTAATTTAAGCAATAACAGGTTTTGATGCAAGTGAACATTTTAAACTTTCATTATAATTTCTAACTAATTCCATTGCACGTTGAGCCATCTCAGTGGAATCAGTTTCTATACGTTTATTAGCAATGAATTCATTTAAACTATAATTCACTTGTTCATGTTGTACCCATCGACGTTCTAAATTAGTTAAATGTACATATGTATCTTGTTCAGTTAAATTTGCTTGTAAATTTGAATATTCCACGGATAATTGTTGATTTAATTTGTTTAAATTGTCACGATACTTATCTAGACGTGATTTTTCTTCATTTAACTGAAATTATTCAACAAAAAAAATACAAAGGTATTTCAAATATGAAGTAGATTGAGTTTATTGTTTGTTTATACTTCAAAAGGGTGTATATTTATCAAAAATGATTCCAAACAATTACATAGGCTATAAGACATTTGTAGTTTTGTAAATAAAACTAACATTCTATTACTAGAGTCGTCATATGGCTTAATCATTATAACTGATTCTATCATTAAAACTCCATAATGATATTTTACCTGCACTCTGGCTGATATGAAGGTGGTGATCGATGAGATATTACTGAACCTTCATTCTGTTCTTGTTGAATGTCAACTGGACCTACTTACTGATAACATCACACAGACTGTAACGAATGACTAACATTGGTTTGAGAAACTCACGAAACTTTTGATTTGAATTTGGATTTTAATGATTCAAAGCCATGAACAGTTTATAAATCATTTTTTTCTTAAATGAAGTAGAAGAGTTCATAGTTAAAAAAAATTAGGATCTATGCAACAATGTTGATCACTAAACCAAAGTTAGTAGTTATTGTCAGTCAGATGCAACGTAGAACTACGTGCGTAAGTACATCAGTTCTTGTCGCCATACCACATCAGCACAGAGATATAATTGTCAATTCAAATCCAATAGTAGAAGAGGTAGTAAGGGAATTAGAAGTAATCAGAGAGGTTAGAATTAGAAGATATTATTCAAGAAGTATGATTCAGTGAGAAAAGTTTAGAGAGTCGAAACTAGAGGTGTTGAAGAATCCAGAAGATTAGGATTTGAGAGAACATAAAGAATAAATGCACCGGCGCCATTGCAAACGATTTTGAGCCATGTCATTCAAGGTCTCTAACCATCGATTATTATCATCTCGCGGACCCCAACCAGGTAGTCGACAACTACCGACATGACTCAGTCCACTTGTCAATGACTTCATGGATTTGTGCCATGTTTTGGTTTGGTCGCCCCTAACTTTCTTCCAACCTACTCCTACACTACAAAACAAAGCTCGTCGAGGCAGTCGGTGGTTGGGCATACGCAGTTAAAAAAAATTCGGATCTATGCAACAATGTTGATCACTAGACCAAAGTTAATAGTTATTGTAGACTGATATCAATTATACAACGATTAAACAGGGGGCTGTTTTTGGCAATCTGGCAGCATCTACAATTCCACTAGATATCTTACTATGAGCATTCAGTCGCTCAATTAACAAAGAACACTTTCCTTGTATTAAAATGACAAATATCCGATTTCAATCACTTTGTTAAATGGTACATCTTAACATTTTGATATGATTAGCAATAATTTTTTTAAGAGTAATTGCATCTCTTTAATCCTTTTACATGAATGACAACAAACTTGACTTTACACATTTGAAATCAATCATTGTTAGACCACCATTAGAAATCAGGAAGTACTGGACGGACGGCTGTTTCGTCCTGGTATGGGATTTCAACCCTCTCGGGTGTAGGTAGTAACTACCAAAGACGAGGTCGCACAAAATTCCTAGATCAATCAGAGTTAGACATTATTAACACCATTGGATGCCGCCGGTCCAGAGGTTAGGCGTTCGGACGTGAGACCAAAGGTCCCTGGTTCGAATCCTGCGAGGTGCAGGAGTCATCCAGTGCTTTCAGGTTTCTAATGATGGTCTAACAATGATTGATTGATGATCTCAAATGTGTAAAAACACTAATCTCCATAATAACTCTAATAGAAAACTTGATTTTATAAAAATTTTAATTAATGTTGAAGTATATATAATATCAAAGATAATAAACTTACACTTTTTCTTTTACAATTCGCATTTTTATGCGCTTTATCCAAATCACTGAACAGTATGATTTCTTCTTCCATTTTAGTAATACGTTTTTTCAGTGTTTCCATTTCCTTTATTAATCATTTTAAGCGAAAAAACATAGGAAGAATAAATTCTAATTAACGCTTAATTAATACTGAGTAATTAGAATAATTCAACTACATAAAAATTAATCAGCAAGCATTTCATTGAACAGTTAGTTGCGCTTAAAGTTTCGCTTCACAAACTATAACAACTTCGTCATCTATGTGTACTGTGTGTCGACGAAATTGGCTGCTATACATGTAGTAAGCGATGCACACACAAACTCAATAAAAAACCACCCCAGAGATATAAGAGAATGATTATCGACAAAGGTCAAAAGGTAGGTGAATAATGAACTCGAGAATAATAGATTAATTAATTCAGCTGTCCAAAGGCTCACACTAGCTCTATATGGGCCGGCTCAACAGAAAAGTACACACACCACGACCACGTGATCACTGAGCCAGCGTGCAACCTACGATGATATTATCTTCTTCATTGAGTATCTCTGTTTCAAACACACCACATGGATGAGATTCACTGGTCATGGCTTCTCACTAGACCTCCTCCGAGAACTCCCTCAATAACTAATCATCATTAATGAGCACATGATTTGGTGAAATTGAACATTAACACTATTGGTTGCCGGTTCAATGGTCCATCATAGGTTGGTGTTCGAGCCCGAAACCGAAGGTTATAGGTTTGACAGTCGTCGATAGTGTAACTGTATATGGATGAACAAGTCTAGATGTATCTTGTTTTTCATACGATTTACATACACATAGTTCAGTCATATTTGGTGTCTTAAATGGGCAACAAACATTAAAGGGTCTCGCCGGGACTGATGGATAGAATGGCGGCTATCTATTAAAATCATGCCTATCAAAAATTTAATAAAATCAATTTCAGTCTTTGACAAAGCATTCTCACAGTTCATCAAGTATAAAAGTTTATTGTCCTATCATTAAAATATTTAAATCTCGTTGTTATTTTTACTAATTCATTCATGGTCCGCTATAGTCAAGCATCATACGTTGACAAACATCTGGTTGGGGACCCCCAGGACTCTCTTGGAAAAGGTCCTAATGTTGTAATTTATTTTTGAAATTTTGATATTTTACGCCTTCGCGCCAGAGATGCCAAGTTGACCTACAGCTTACATTCCCCACTCGGAAATCCTTGACTGTCATTGGCTGGTGGATTATTTTAGTACGCTATTTTTGTGACTCTCCCAAGGACGTTTCTATCATTGTATAAATAAGCTTGATTTGTGTGCTTAGCAACCTCGAAGTTTCTGTGTGCTTGTAGAATAAATACATTCTCTACTCCTTATCAAGACTTCTTGCTTTTGTCAGCAGGGCCTGGGACAACGGGTTATATTAGCCTATTATGTTACTGTATCGTTGATGTTCGTTCCGTTTACCGAGTAAGGTGAACTCGTAATAACATTCAAGCATATCATTTGACGAGCATATCACATCTCAGGGAAAATCAAATCAACCTCATTATATGAAATAGACATGGCTGACAACAACACTGAGTAGAACTGCTGATATTGCCAAACTAAATTCACTACTTTTACATCGTGTCCCATTCATATAACTGGACACTCTTGATGGTTAATTAGAATACTGAATAATAAACATGTTAGGATATTCATCCACTAACCTAAGAGAATTATTTGTAAGTCTAGTTCTTCTATTGGTCAACTCCTGTTGGTCAGTATTATGGTCGTCTTAACTGTCGATGTCACAAACTTCAATGTTGTTTCCTATTCGACTTAACTGTATACCTATGCATTATCTGTAACGTCTTATGATCGGAATCCTTATCCGCTTCTGGACTTGGACATCGTACTTTCTGAATCCTTGTAAAAATACACGTTCTACTTCATATCAAGTCTTCCTCCTCTACTCAATGAAGGTTTGGGATACTCGGATTAGAGCAGCTTGTTGTGTCGCCTGATTATCGATCCTCGCTCTCGTTTACCGACCAAGGTGAATTCGTAATAAGTATTTCAAGCATACATATCAAATGATGTGGTCACGCGCATACGTAACAAAACAGTTAACAAATTTCTGTTTATCCTACCTCTGTAATTTTACGTTCTAAATGATCAACTTTCAATAAATCTTGATTTAAACGTATACGCTCTTTGATTAAGTTGTTAGTATATTCTTCAGATTTGACATTATCATCACTTAGACAATTTATAACACTACTGGTCTGGTTATTATTCATTTCAGGTTGAACAATTAATTCAACTGATGATAAATCCAAATCGAGATTCGGTGTAATTTGATTGATACTTGTGATATAATTTGATGTTCTTTGTAGAATGTCAACAATTGTTGACTCCATTTCATTGATTCCACGAACTTCTACAGACTAAAGAAAAAAAAAGGGAGAATATTTATTACTTGAAAAAAAAAATCTCGCTAGGTTATGTATGCCATTATTTTCAGGTTGTGCAAATAATGTTATCGATTGTAAGCTTTCACTTTGGCATATGGTGTATAATTCAGCATAGGGTTCGTGTTAGGATATTCATCCAATATCCTAAGAGAATAATTGGTCAAATCCTATTGGTCGATTTCTATTGGTCAAAATTATGGCCGTTTTAAATGTCGAAGTCAAATACTTCAATATTGTCTCTTATTGGTCCTCAGAACTGTCAATGTCATTTCACATGTTCTTTCTTATTGGTTGTCCTGACTATCAATGTCATTTCAATTGTTACTTCCTATTGGTCGTCTTAACTGTTAATGCCACAGAATTCGATACTGTTTCCTATTCGACCAAAATGTATAAATACGCATTATCTGTAAAGTTTTATGACCACGACCAGGACCAGGGTTCGGTCTCGGATTCCTAGTCCAGGATCCTGATTCTCTTCTGGACACGGACCTCGTACCTTCTGGACGCTTGTAGAATACAGGTCCTACTTCATATCACGTCTTCTTATTTTTTACTGAATATGGGGGTTGGGATAACCGGATTTGAGTAGCATGTCGTGTCACCGGATCCTCGCTCTCGTTTTCCGACTAGGTGAACTCGTAATAGTTCAAGTATATATATCAAGATGACGTGTTGACGTGCAGGCGTAACAGTTCGACTTGAAATTTCTTCTGTATCAAGTAGAAAGTCAATTTGTCTTACATTGTAGTATTGAAGTAAGCAAAGAAGATCTAATTCTTAGAGCAAAACATTTTCTTTTAGTTCAGCTCAATTAAATCTGTGATTATTTTTTTTAAAGAATTATTGTATTGAAGGTTTTTTTTGTTGAAAACTTTTAAAACGATCAGTTGGATTGTTTGATACTCGATAGATCAACTAACAGTCAGCATAATATTTGACTTAAATAAAATAAAAGAAAAAATGTTAAATTTGTCTAAAAATATTAGAAAGTAAGAAGAGATTATGTTGGAGATGTTAGATCCCCTGAACTCGCTTGATAATGATGGCCTTAATTTTGGATTTCATGTTTACGAGCATGGACTGATCAGCTGACTTTGAAATCAGATTTCTCACCAGGAAAATCCTTGGCTGTGATTGGTTACTGTGTCATTTTAGTGTGTTATTTTTTGGTGACTGTCCCAAGGATGTTTCGATGATGTATAAATAAACGAAAGTTGTATGCTTGATTGTATTGTGTGATTGCTGAGTGTTTGTAGAATATCCTTTCTACGCTACAGTAAGACTTCTCTTTTGCCATTTTCGGACAAACTGGCCTACCTGGACTCTGGTTCATTGTCTCGTTCACATTTATCGACTAAGATGAAGCCGTAATAGCTTCAAGCGTACACCTAGTGACGAACCTAAAAAAATTCCCCTTTTGTTTTTGGATGATCATTCTCATGAAGGATACAATTTTCTGTCAGTTAAAACTGATGAATTATTTATTATTCGATGTAATAATAATAAATTATGCCAAAGCTCATCACCAGGTGAGAGGAAATTTATTACTCTTAATATTAACGGGCATTTGTGTAGATTGCAAATAGATACTGCATCTGATGTCACTATCCTCTCACACAGAAATTGGACCAAATTGGGTAGCCCAAGCCTGCAGCACACAACACAAAAGCCTCGTACAGCATGCGGTAATTATCTTCGTCTGTTAGAACAATTGGAATGTAAAGTTGCTTTCCGAGATTCGTCGTTTACTGGGGTATGTTATGTAACGCCAGCTGATCTAAATTTACTTGGTTTAGATTGGTTCGACCAGCTAAAATTGGCTGATGTCCCGTTAAATACTATATGCAACCTGGTATCACAACCACATGACCCAGAAGCGTATACGAAGAAGCCGATGACAGAGTTTTCAACCATTTTTGAACCTGGACTGGGTCGGTGCACTGCTATGAAAGCAACACTTCGGTTGAAACATGGGGCTAAGCCTGCTTTTCGTCCAAAGAGACCTGTACCTTATGCAACATTAGCAACAGTAGATGAAGAACTGGATCGCCTTCAACAACAAGGAGTTATTACTCCCGTTTCTTACTCCAGTTGGGCAGCACCTATAGTCGTTAACAAGAAGGCCAACGGCACGATACGTATATGTGCTGACTTCTCCACAGGTCTCAACGCAGCTCTAGAACAGCATCATTATCCTCTGCCAGTTCCAGCGGTTTTCCCCCTCGAAATGCAAAATGTTGCTTCAAGACTGGGTTGCATTGGCACCTGAACTAGTGATAGGGAGTGAAGTAGTCGAGCGTGTAGATCACTTCACTTATCTGGGGAGTCTCATCAGTGCTGATGGTCTGGTGACTGACGAAATCTCAGCTCGGATACAGAAAGCTCGATTGGCTTTTGCCAACCTGCGTCACTTATGGCGTAGGCGTGATATCCGTTCGCTAACCAAAGGGCGGGTGTACTGCGCAGCAGTTCGTTCTGTTCTCTTATATGGCTGTGAAACATGGCCGTTAAGAGTAGAAGATGTTCGTAGGTTACTAGTATTCGATCATAGATGTTTAAGAAGCATTGCTCGTATATCGTGGGACAGCCGAGTAAGCAATGCTGTCGTTAGGAAACGAGTACTAGGTAAGGATGGCAGATCAATAGATGAAGTGGTGAAACTTCATCAGTTGAGGTGGTTGGGACATGTGTTACGTATGCCTAACCACCGACTGCCCCGACGAGCTATGTTTTGTGGTGTAGGAGTAGGTTGAAAGAAAGTTAGGGGCGGCCAGACCAAAACATGGCACAAATCCATGAAGTCACTGACAAGTGGACTGAGTCATGTTGGTAGATGTAGACTACCTGGTTGGGGTCCGCGAGACGAAAGTCATCAATGGTTAGAGACCTTGAACGACATGGCTCAAAATCATTTGCAATGGCGCAGGTGCATCCACTCTTTGAGCTCTCTCAAATCCTAATCTTCTGGATTCGTCAATACCTCTGCCTTTGTCTTTATAATCTTATCTCACTGAATTATATTTTTTGAATAATATCTTCGAACTCTAGTCTTCTTTATTAACATTAATACCTCTACTATCTTTATCACTATGGGATTTGATTTGACATTTGCGTCTCTGTGCTAATAATGTGGTATGGCAACATGAACTTATGTACATACGTACGAAGTTCTACGTTGCAACTGACTGACTGACTGCCAGTTCCAGCAGATCTGTTCACTATGCTGAATGGGGGAAAGTTCTTCGCAAAGCTTGACCTAGCTGATGCTTATTTGCAAGTGGAAGTCGATGAAGCATCTAAAGAGCTGCTTACTATCAACACTCATGGCATAATAATAATTACCTTTAAATGATCAAATGTTTGCAAAAATTCATCAATTTGTTGTTCACGTTTTTTTAGTTCACGATATTTCTGATCTCTTTCATTATAATTTTCATCTAATTGTTGTTCTAGGAGATGTAATTCCTCTTCTTTATTAGTAATCTTCTCTTGAATTTCATGTGTTCTATAGAAAATATGAAATATGAAATAAAACAGATGAGGATTTCGGAAAATTATTCAGATGTCACATAGCAGAATAATTAATCTCGTTGTGTAGGAGTGAGGAAGACTATAACTGGCTTCATCTTTAGTTCCGATAGAGTAATGTTGGTTAAGTTCCAACATAACCATTAGATGAAACGACGCAACATGGTGTTGCACAGTGTTTCAGTATCAGCTGGTTGAAAGAAACTGGTAACATGCGTTGGATCTAGGTTTTATTCAGCTAGATACTTCTCAGTGAGGTAGATCTTCGTTATTAAGTCAAATGTGGCCGGCTCCCTTTGAAGATTGAACGACTATTTATGGAGTAATTTAGTTAGATCTTTTACAAAAATAGCTAACATTGAAGCTACTGCTACTAAACAGTTTGAACATAAAATCTCAAGTAAAAAGATAATTGAAACGAAGTGAGTAGACTGACAAATTCACAATTTAGAATGTTGTTATTTGAAGTAAGGGAATCCCTTCAGCTTACAATTCCAATTACGAAACCATCAATAAATGGTATGCATTAACTTATTAGTAAAATCAGGATAATTATCTCGCTGTAGCTTCCACTTGTTATGCCTGCCATGTAAACACGTCAGCTTGATATACTTGAACTATTGCGAGTTTACCTAGTCAGAAAACTAGAGCGAGGATCGATGATCCGGCGACACGACATGCTACTGAAATCCGATTATCCCAACCCCATATTTAGTAAAAATAAGAAAACGTGATATGAAGTACAACCTGTATTCTCTACAAGCATCCAGAAGGTAGGAGGTCCGAGTCCAGAAGAGAATCAGGATCCCGGACTAGGGATCCGGGACTGGGTACTGGTCCTGATCGTGATCATAAAATGTTACAGATAATGAGTATTTATACATTTTGGTCAAATAGAAAACAGCATCGAATTCTATGACATTGACAGTTAAGACGACCAATAGGAAGAAACATTTGAAGTGACATTGATAGTCAGGACAACCAATAAGAAATAACATTGGAGCACGTGACATTGATATCTAGGACGACCATAAAATTGAATAGTAGGAATTAACCAATATGAATTGACCAACAATTCTCTTAGGATATTGGATGAATATCCTAACACCACTATTGATAGGATCCTCTCAGTCAGTAGATGTAATGTAATTAATTATTAACCCTAAGTAAGTTAATTTGTTGAATACACATTTATATGGAGTATAAGTGCTAGTCTGCTAACAATTTCACTGATCAATTGAAACATGTATCTTCACATTGTTACAAATGTTTGAGATTACGTTTTATGTCTGCCAGGTCTATCTTCAGATATTTCTTTTAATTAGGAACTTTCAATTACTCTAAGGTCATACATAGTATTCATTCAGACTGACCAATGAGAAATCATTCATTAAAATTTTTTTTAGTGATATAATTGCAAGAACAGATTAATACTGAAATACTGTAAAAATATGTCATCTATTATCGAGTCCATCGCCACTGTACATCAACTTCATTGACTACGAGAAAGCATTCGATAGTCAATGATTTGGCTGGTCATTTGGAATAGTGTGAAAAAGTCATAGCAACCGATCAACGGTTGTCTACACAAAATATTTCGGATTCGTTAGCCAGACACCATCAGCAACAACGAACTGTGGGAGAGATCAAACCAGATTCCAGTGGAGGAGGAAATCAGGAAGAAGCGGTGGAAGTGGATAGGACACACACTACGAAAAGCACCGAACTGCGTCACAAGACAAACCCTCACATGGAACCCTCAAGGTAAAAGGAAAAGAGGAAGGCCAAAGAACACATTACGCCGATAAATAGAGAAAGATATGAGAGGAATGAACAAAAATTGGACAGAACTGGAGAGGGAAGCCCAGGACAGAGTTGGTTGGAGAAAACTGGTTGGCGGCCTATGCTGCATTGGGGGTAACAGGCGTAAGTAAGTAAGTATTATCGAGTCCATATACACAGAAGCCTCCTTTGTCGGTTGGATGATATTTTATCATGTCAAAATGTAATACCAACCAACTTAAACTTTAGTATCCTGTCATTTATGATGAAACAAAAGAAATCTTACTGTTTATCAATCGCCGAGATCTCTTGATTATCATTTTTAACTTGTTGCAATAGACGTTGACGTTCTTTTTCAGGATCTTCTTTGGATGCCTCTTCTGATAATAATTGGTCTCGTCTAATTTGTGCTTCACGTAGTTGAGTAAACAGGCGAACAGCTTCTTGTTTAATCTTGTTCATTGATGATTTTTTTTATAAAAAAGGAATAAATTGAAAATAAATTTTAAAAAAAATATAACACTCTGTAGATCAGTCAGAGTTAGACATTAACACCGTTAGATGCCGGCTCAGTGGTCCGATGGTAAGGCGTTCGCCTACAGTACCGAAGGTCTCGGGTACGAATCCTGCGAGGAGCAGGAGTCGTGGATGCGCACTGCCACTGATGAGTCCCATACTAGGACGAAACGACTGTCCAGTACTTCCAGGTTTCTAATGTTGGTTTAACAATGATTGACTGATGATTTCAAATGTGTAAAAACACAAACCTCCAAAACTCTGCCCGAAAACTCTAATTCTTGCCAAACTATTTATCAGTCTTTAAACAATATGTGTAAGTGTATGTTATTTGAAATACTATGCCTGATAGAAGTTTACCAGATTCATTAGTCTTTTTGAATGCTTTATGACTGATTTTTGAATAGTTTTTCAAACAATATTCAATATTCATGTGTCTTTCTCTCTAGATCTTCATCTGTTCTGCACTACCATTGCTTTCCCAATGATTCTGACTCGTTTGCTATTTATTGTGTTAATCTCATATTAGTCATTCTGGTTTACGGTAAAGTAACTAACTGGGACCAATGAACATATGCACCACTGTCAAACAATGATTACGACCGACTGAACAGTCAAATTTGAATTGACATTCATGGCAGCAATGGTATTTTTAAGACTTTCTGTAAACAGTGAAATGTTCTGCATTTTTTGAGTCGAATGAGACATAAGTAAGAGAGAATTCATTTCCATACCCTTAACAAAATATCTACTTTATGTGGGATGTCACAAATACGTTGCAAAAATAAAGCTTTTACGTTTGAAAGTTTGTAAAATTCGATCCAGTTTGTTAAGATATATACTTCAATCCATGTTTCTTACAAATGAGTGATCATTGGTTAAGTAACCAATGGTCCTGGGTTCGAACCCTGAGTGCAATAGAAGTTGTGGATGTGCAATACCATTGATGAGTCTCATACCAGGACGAAACAAGTGTTTAGTGCTTCCAGGTTTCGAATAGGCTTCTAACCAAGGGTACGCATATTTAGTCCTGAAGATTGCAGGTATGCCTTACTGACTGACAAACGCCAAATAGTATAAAATATATGACTACGTTCAGCTACCTAATACATATTATTTTCATATCTCAGACAATAGATAGCACAAGATAACTTTGTTGGAATGACATAGATGTGAAACCGAAAATTTCATGACGTATCCAAACATAAAGTAGTGAATTTTGTGATTGTCAATCTGATTATTATAGTAGTGGTGTAGTGAACGAGAACACAGGTTGAGCAACCGGATTATAGTTAACTAAAATTACAGAGTTACTCAGTAAAATCGGAAAACCATATCGTAAATCGTTCATATGCAAAATATCATATCGAACTGGACTGTTCCTGTTGCAAAACATCAATCCATTGTCACTTCATGCGTTTCATACAAATTCCATTGTTTTCTAACTTTTCGTTTCTTGATCTAACCCCATCTTCTGCTGCCAGACATTCCGTTGACACTCACGTCATATACTACTTATAAGTAGCTCACACCACAGTGGTAGTAAAAGGAAGAGAAGCAGAATGAGAGAGGAATAATTTGTTATATTATAAATATTAATTATTTTAAAAATTTACCGGTGATGTACTTATTTCTTCTTCCAGATCAGCTTTTCTTGCATTCAATCTCTCCAACTCTGCTTGACCTTCAGTTAATTGATTCAAAAGATGAACATTTAAATCCTTCAATTTGAAATAACGTTCACGTTCTGTAGCAACCATATCTTGGATTACACTTTCAGACATTTGTTGTTCCTTAATATTAATTATTTGTTAAAAAAACACAAACACATCATTTTATGTGAAAATAGTACATACAAAATGTTGATAGTAATAATAATAATAATAATAATAATAATAATAATATGCACTATTAAATAGCTTACGCCATTGTACGCGTTGTTTTAAACTCTCAATATTATCAGTATGTAATTGTTACGAATTGCACGTAAACACGTCAACTTGATATTCTTAAACTATTACGAGTTCCTCTTTAGTCATTGAGTAAGTAACCAATGGTCCTAGGTTCGAACCCTGAGTGTAACAGAAAATGTGGATGTGCACTGCCACTGATGAGTCGCATACCAGGACGAAACAGCTGTTTAGTGCTTCCAGGTTTCGAATAGGCTTGTAACCAATGGCACGCTTATTTAGTCCTGAAGATTGCAGGTATGCCTTACTGACTGACAAACGCCAAATAGTATAAAATATATGTATGTTACGAATTGCACGTAAATACGTCAACTTGATATTCTTAAACTATTACGAGTTCCTCTTTAGTCGAAAAACGAGAGCGAGGATTGAGGATTCGGTGACACGACAGGCTACTTTAATCTGATTGTCCCGAACCCTCATTGAGTAAAAGAAGAAGACATGTTATGAAGTAGAACATGTATTCTACAAGCATTCATTCAGAAAGTACGATGTCCGAGTTCAGAAGAGGATTATTAGGATCCCGGACTAAGGATCCGGGTTCGGGTCATAAAACGTTACAGATAATGTGTATTTATACAGTTAGGACGACCATAATATTGACCAGTAGAATTAGACTTCCAAACCCACCTGGTCGGGACAGTACCTCCACTTCACTAGTTTCTGCCCCATACAATATAAACGTTCTGTTGTCAAAACTTTATTCGCTCGAGCAAGTAGAATCTGCACTGCTGATACATTGAACGGCGAATTCAAGCTTATTACTGACACACTTAAATCAAACGGATATCCCGAAAAGTTTATTGGTCATCAGAACACAACTATGACGAAGCTGATAGCAATTGATGTGCCCAAGAAACCAGTGTACCTACAGTTACCTTTCAAAGGTGATCATTGCATGAAACCTACAACCAAACAGACTGCAGCTGCAATAAAAAAGACCTTCAATGCAGCTAATCTGAGGCTTATCGCAACAACTCAATCGATCTCAGTTACCCCAATCAAGTCTCCAAGACTGATTCAGTCCAAATCCCACTGTATTTACCAATTCACATGTAACTGCGGAGAAAGTTACTTAGGGAGGAGAGATCGCCGATTGGAAGACAGGATAGGGGAACATAATCCAAAATGGCTAATCAAATCCATGATTCATCAACCTAGCCCATTATCTCAAAATCAATCAAGAAACCCAGCCTCGTCCATTGCAAAACATCTAATGATGAGTGGTCATCAAATTGACCCAAAATCAGCCTTTACAGTTGTGTCATCAAAACCCACATACACTCAAACTACTCGAAGCTATCTTGATTGGTCGGAAAAGTCCAACTTTATGTGTTCAAAAACACCTGTATGTTGACCTTTGTTTACCATGGTTCTAGTGAGTGAATGTCATGCTAAATAAGAAATTTTGACCTTATCTTCAAAACTGTATTTACAAAAATAACATGTTGCTTGTATGTGACTGACGAGAAAGCACGAAATGGTACTATCTCACAAAATATGTCTTCTTATTTCTCTATTCAAATCTTCCAAAAATAGTTAGTTTTCTTAGGATATTTGATGAATACATCAGCAATTTATTTCATTAACAGACTGATAAATGTTTTTTTGAAAAAAAAAGAATTAAATACTTTACTAAAATCACTTACTTACTTGTTTTAACTCTAGTTCACATGATTTTAATGATGATTCACGTCGTTGACGATCTTCAAATAACATTTCTAAATTTCGTTCAGCACGTTCATTGGCAGTACTGACATCATCCAAATCCATTTCAATACTTGTAATATTATTATCACCTAAGGTTGCTTTATCAACAAGAGTATTATAATCGCCTAATTCACCCTATTCACAAAAAAAAATTATTGACAATTGAGAAACATATAAACCTTTTTATTAAGAAGATAAGATGTTATCTATTGAAGAAATTGAAGAAATCTACACAACTCATACCAGAAATCGTAGTCTTCTTTCTGCTCACTGGTAATGAACTTCCTATAGTAGTTTGTAACTTGTATCGTCAGTCAAATCCGCATTGAAACAGTAACTTGTCTATGACACACTAGATAACGGTTTAATTTCTTATTAAACGGATTGAAGTTAAAAATAATAAATAAGACATTGAATTTCTACCCGATAGTGAAAAATTAAGGAACTTACTGTAAAGTTTGAAGGTTTCGAACTGGATCCCGAACATGGTCATAGTTGAACATTGGCGACAAGTTAAAAACTAGGATAACAATATTGTCTAATTTTCCCCCTAAATAGCTTTTCAGATAATGTGAGTCTCGAGATTGTAAATTATCTCAAAATACAACAAATTTTCGTTGACTACTTAACTTGTTGTGCCTCCACATATAATATTCCAGTTCGCTAACAATTAATTGGGTTAAGCCCTTTCGATTAATTTATTTAACCAAGCCATTTGAGTGTTGCAACAATTTATATGGACCCATTCGTTCTTATTATTATTGTCTGGTTTGTATGAGCTCACATGACATGTTCACGCTCTATCTCTTTGAGTTGGCTCAACAGCCTTCTCCAACACGCTTCGCCTGTTCATTCGCTTCCTTCGCCCATTCATTCGCATTGTAATCCTAGGAGTTGGCTCAACAGCCTTCTCCATTTCACGTCGCTTCATCCCTTTTTATCCACTGCTTCTTCGCTTCGCTTTGTGGTGTGTCTCACTACGAATTCACCTTCTGATTTTTAAACCGTCAGACGCTACTTTGTAACGATTGTCTAGACGAGCTAATTACCGAGAATAAGAACACGCAGTAAATCGATACACTACAAACTCAGTGATAAGTGGTCATTTTATCAAATATCAGCTGAAGAGATATACGTACTGAAAATACCGATAAGCTGTTGGATAATTCTCAAATCTTTCCATTACTAAGACATAAATGAAATTGAAATGAATTACATATATATTCCCTAGGAAAAATGAGACAGAATTTACATTATCAAGGTGCTCAGCCCTAAATGATGTTGAACAGCAAGTGACTTTGTGTGTGAATACATAATTTGATAATTATCAATTTTATTCTTTGTTCTTCAATAAACAGCCACTACATTATTACCAAAGTTCAATTGGACTATAGTCGGAGATTCATTTACAGAATTTTAGAAACTAACGATCACTTTCTTAACAGTGAATTAGATTTAAGGATTTAAAAACGCACTGCTTCTTAATATGTCCCACAGATTTTAGTGAAAAATACACTCCATTAATTAAAATATAATGATTGGGTCTCGAGAGATTTATTGATAATCATCACTTTTTATTGTATTTCGGTTTGATATAAACTATGCAATACCTAGCATTCAATGAAAAAGTAACTAATGTCATTATGTTGACCAGTATAGCTGAGTTCTTTTGGTTACCCACGAACTTACGAATAATCGAGGAAATGGACGCAACCGCATCTAAATGGTCTCCAACGCCTAACTAGGACTCGTGAAGAGCAGACTCGAGAAGACGAGGCTGGTTTCGATCTGGACAGTGATACATAGACCAGATATTCATACTTTGTCAGGTCCAAAGACACAGGCACACATTCAGGCATCCGAAAATTGTTGTACTCCTCGATCTTAAGGCTCCATTTGACTCTGTTGAACGTGAGGCTCTATGGCAATGTCTGTCGTCTAAAAGTGTACCAGAGAAGTACACTGACCGTATACAAGCTCTCTACTCGAAAACTACTGGTCGAGTGAGAGCTGACGGAAAACTGCCATCGGGACTGATTATTTCGAGTGATGCCTGTCAGCGCTGTCCACTCTCTCCATTCTTATTCAAGTTTTCTATTCACATTCTTTTAGAGACGACACTTTCATCGTCTGAATTTTCTCGGGTGGACCTTCCACCAGGAGACTCGCCTGTTGACTTAGAATATGCTGATGACATAGTTCTGTTTGGTGACGATGCTGACAAAATATAGCCTTCTGAACACCCTGAGCAACAATTCACGCAGGTATGGAATGTAATTCTTTCCCTCCAGATACAAAATATTCCTCGACGTTCGGCTTGTATCAGTGCCCAGATTAGTGTTAGAGAGTGAGGCAGTTGAGCGTGTAGACCACTTCACTTATCTTGAGAGTCTCGTCGGAGCTGATGACCTGGTATTTGATGAAATCCCAGCACGGATACAGAAGACCCGATTGACTTTTGCCAACTTGCGTCACATATGGAGTGGGCAAGATATCGATCTACCAACTAAGGAATGTATTTACAGAGCTTCGCCCTACCTAATCTACGGGGATGAATCATGGCCAGCAAGAATAGAGAATATTAGTAAGTTACTGGTTTTTGATCATTGGTGTCACCGAAGCACTACTGGAACATACTGGGAACATCGAGTAAATAATTCTGTTGTAAGAATGGCAGATCAATCGCCTAAATAGTGGAACTTCATCAGTTGAGGTGGTTGGGACAAGTATTACAAATGCCTAACCACCGACTGGCTCGAAGAGCGATGTTTTGCGATGTAGGGATGAGTTGGAAGAAAGGTAGGGGCAGCCAGACCAAAACATGGCACAAATCCATGAAGTTACTGATAACTGGATTGAGTCGTGTTGGTAAGTGTCGACTACATTTGTTGTTGAGTGTGCGATAGAAGAGCCAAGTCATCTGCGAAGTCCAGATCGTCCAGCTGCGTCCTAACTGTCCAGTTGATACCGTGCTTCCCTCCAGATGTCGACGTCTTCATAATCCAGTCGATGACCAGGAGAAAGAGAAAGGGTGAGAGTAAGCAGCCTTGCCTGACACCGGTCTTCACCTCAAAGGAGTCTGTTAGCTGTCCTTCGTGTATGATCTTGCAGTTGAATCCATCATAAGAATTCCATATGATGTTAACTATTTTCTCAGGCACACCGTAGTGTCGAAGAAGCCTCCACAGTGTTCCATTCAATCGATTGTTGTACAATGATCCTTAATGTAGCAATTTGGTCAGTACACGATCGATCCTCACGAAATCCGGCCTGTTGATCTCGAAGTTGGACGTCTAAGAAGTCCTTCATTCTGTTTAACAATACCCTGTTGAAAACTTTGCCTGGTATGAGAGAAGAGTGATGCCTCTGTAGTTCTCACACTTGCTGAGATCGCCTTTCTTTGGTATTTTGATCAGGTATCCTTCTTTCCAATCTGATGGTACTTGTTCCTCATCCCAAATCTTCTTGAAGAAGATGTGAAATATTTTCGCAGTTGCTTCTACATCTGCTTTCATTACCTCTGCTGGAATGTTGTCTGTTCCTGCTGCTTTGGCGCTCTTGATTTGTCTGATGGCCATACTGATCTCCTCAATCGTAGGTGCGCCAATAATAATTGGGAGATCCGTGGATGCTGCTTCGATGTTGGGTGTGTTCAGTGGAGCTGGTCGATTTAGGAGTTCCTTAAAGTGCTCTACCCACCTATTTCGCTGTTGTTCAGTGTTGCTGATTACTTTGCCTTCCTTGCTTTTCACTTGTCGTTCTGGTTTACGATAGTTTCCGGCCAGCTTCATTGTTGTTTCGTACAATTGTCTCATGTTTCCTTCTCTTGCAGCCTTTTCCGCCGTCATCGCTAGATCTTCCACATATTTTCGTTTGTCAGCTCTGATACTCTTCTTCACCTCCCTGTTTGCTTCCGTGTATTCAGCTTGTGCCTTAACTTTCTCTGCTCTTGTTCGGCTGACATTCACTGCTGCCTTCTTGTTCCTCCTTTCTTCAATTTTTGTAAGAGTATCAACAGATCCATTCCTTGTGATGGTACTTCTTGTGACCCAGAACTTCGTGACATGTTGAAGTGATTGCCTGCTTGATCCCTTTCCAATTGTTCTCCAACGTTGCGTCCTCTCCATTGTGTAGATCCTGAAAGGCCTGGAACCTATTGGTGAGGGTTATCCTGAATTCATTGAGCTTTACAGTATCCCGAAGAAAGGCTGTATTGAACTTGTGTGATGTTGTCTGTCCCGTTTTCCAGTGCTTCTTTAGCTTCAGTTTCATTTTGGCGATTAGCAAATGGTGATCTGGGGCTATATCAGCTCCTCTCTTAGTTCTCACATCCTGCATAGTCCTTCTGAACGTTTTGTTGATACAGATATGATCAATCTGGTTTTGAGTAGTGTGATCCGGTGAAATCCATGTAGCTTTGTGTACGCTTTTGTGCGGGAATATTGTGCCACCGGTGACCAGTTTGTTGAAGGCACATAGGTTTGCAAATCTCTCACCGTTTTCGTTTCTTTCTCCCAGTCCATGTCGTCCCATGATGTCTTCATATCCAGTGTTGTCCATGCCAACCTTGGCATTCAGGTCTCCCATAAGAATCATCAAATCCTTTGGTGAACGTTTCTCGACGATTGACTGCAGCCTTTCGTAGAATTGATCTTTAACGTCGTCATTGTAGTCGTTGGTAGGGACATAACATTGGATGACGTTCATTGTAATTTCCGCTTTCTTTGTTTTGAAGGATGCTTTAATGATCCTGGGTCCATGAGATTCCCATCCTATTAGTGCCTTTTGTGCATGTTTGGACAGCATCAGTGCAACTCCATGTGTATGTGAAGCATTTTCCCCTTCATGACCAGAGTATAACAGCAGTTCCCCTGAAGCTAGTCTCAGTTGTCCTACTTGTGTCCAATGCGTTTCACTGATTCCAAGCACCTCGAGGTTGTATCTTTTCATTTCTGCCGCAACTTGAAATAGTCTTCCAGTCTCCCACAATGTACGAACGTTCCACGTACCTAAAAGAGTGGTTGCTCGGGTTGTCAGAAGAGGCATCGTCCCCGTGACTTCCGAGGGAACTCGGCTTTCATCACTCGACGTGATAATTCTTCTTGCAACTCCCAGTGCAGAGTTAAAATAGTTTGAATTATTTTTTTCAGGTTAGCGTTTTTTGGCAAGTTAGTTTTTGACGGAATAGGGTCGCCAACCCCATGTCCAACCTTCCTCCTTTACCCGGGCTTGGGACCGGCAGTAGCCCCAAAGGTTCTACTGGCGGAGTTTTTCTAAATCTATTTCCATCAATTATACGTCTTGAATAAGTTCTTCGAACCCTAATCTTCTGTATTATCGCTAAACTTATCCTACATCTACACTACTAAGGGATTTAAATTCACGATTCGATTTCTCTGGGCTTACATAGCAAAGCAACTTGAACTGATGTACGTAGATTGCTGACTGGATAGCTACGCCGCTAATAGGATTGTTAATAGGAATCAAAACATATGAATGATAAGTGATCCGAAATAAAAGGCAAGTAACCCAAGTATCCAAAATTTTTATGAATGATAAACAATTAAAAAGAAGGATTGACTATCTCATCAATAGATGTTTTATCCACAATGAATCGCATGAAACTAAATGATTACAAGTCGGTAGTATTTAATGAGGCGTAACGTTCATTTATGTGAGTGGTTTTCTGAATAATCAATGCAGTTTCTAGCCACCGATCTAACAGTTTTTATAGTTTCATTGTTCTTCCTTATCTACTAACTTTCATATATTTACTAAACAAACTCTCATAAACACAAACTAATAAAATTAAAATGGAAGTTTTCTCTTATTTAATAGATTACCTGCAGTTCTTTGATTTCATATGCCAACTTTTCTGCCATTCGCTCATATTGTATAAAACTAGCATTCTCTTCCTCTTTTTCCACCAACTGACGTGTTATTGTCCCCAGCTCTGAGCTTAGTTCATTGATTTTCCCCCTCAACAGTCCCAGAAAATACGATTTATCTTCAATCTGACGTTTAGGTCCACGAGTTGCATTTCTAAGCCCACCTAAACCTGTTAAGTTGATATTGAATCGACTTAATTAAAATAAAATTCAGAATACCTTGTTGTGTGATTGGCCTATCTTCAACACACACTATAGTATTTAAAGTAGCTCCACCGATTGTTCTACCTCGGACACCTGTATTTACACCATCTGTTAAGCGACATGCAGTACCATTCTGACCTTGTATTTGGGCTGATTTTAGACGGGATGCAGTGCCTGGCCGAACAGCACTCATATTGCTTTGTAATTAGACAAAAATCTAGAAATAAAAATTGCAGAGTTTAGGTGATCTTTCAAATATAATGTGTAATATCAATTCGGAGAAATAAAAAAATTCTGATAGTTCCCCAGCCTCAATGATGAGTAATGAAATTCGACAAGTGAACATAAATGGTAGTACCTTTACTAACGCGCAACAGAATAAATAGAAAAATTGCATTTTATGTACACCTGAAGGCATAAAATTTGAAAATCTTGTCGTAAAATGTGCTCATACTGAAGATGCTTTGTAAACCCTTTGCCGACCAATATGTCATGTTTATTAAAATCACTTTTTTAATATAAACTGATAAAAGGTGTTTAATTTTTGCACCCCTACAATCTTGTATTTTGTGTTGCAGTTGTATGTTTCCTGGGTCAAATTGCCTATGCATCTACTAAAGTTTCTGCTACTATTTGATGTTGGAAATTACTAACAACTCGCGCCCAAATCCTGTAAGTATAACAAGCAAAGGTTGAGACAAAGAACAGAGTTATTCGAGCAATGATAAAAGGAAATTCTCTGACATTTTGCAATTTCAAAAGGATGGCTTAACACTCTGATACAGTCAAGCTTGTCGAAGACTCACTAATCACACACTTACACACATGTTTTACTATTGACAGAGTAGCTGATTTGTACAACAAGCTGCGTTAACCATTGCTTTTTCCATATTCGAAGGATATTTAAAGTAATTAGCCGTAGTATTAAGTTCTTTTAGGTGCGTTTTTACAAATTTTGATACATTTTGGCAGGAAATATTTTGTGATAGGATTCCTAGTCTTTACTTATCCAAAGAAAAAAAATCATCACCAGACTTCAAGTCTCGCTATAGCTATTTAAAATCCAATTATGTTGTTTGATGTAAATTATGTTTATCTATCTATGAAATATCATGTTTTAAAGAGACCTTGGGAGACGTACATAGCTATGGAATAATCTAATGAGGTCAGCACTTAAAAACACTATTGTTTTCTGTTGTCTGAAAATCCGTAACAGAAATTAATACTGGAAAAAATCTATCGGAATTCCAGCTCCAAGACTAAATTTCTGTTTCATAATCAGAGCTTGTGAATTTTAGGTATATATGAGAAACAGGGAAGTTCAGATAGTCGATATGCACATTACCAATGTTTGAAAATTAGTTATAAAAAGTCATATTGAACAATTTAGGTTGATTTTACCGCAAAGAACAAGTGTATTTGCGTTTAATCACCAGACGTGACTAAGTCAACTAATTTAAACTTAAAAACTTATGAAATATGTCATAACAAACGAAATATTTCTGGTAGCACACAACTATAGTACGTAAAGACACCAAATTATGACTTGGATATGATCTCATTAGTATGTAAATTATATAAAACATAAGAATAGATTTTAGTTAGAGATGCAGATTATTTTAGGGTAAAAGCGAAAAATCTCGACTTCAAGAAACGGGTCAATAACTTCAATCGGTACAGGGTGTTTTCTTCTTACTTTTATAGGACTACATGTGAAAACCTCGAAACAATAAGTTAAGACCTGTGTATCGTTTTAAATGGTGTGAGATAACGCAAATTTGGTGCTCACTCAGCCAAAAACAACGAAGAGCTTCATGAAGTTGTACACCGAATCAAGTTGCCGCGTCACCTTAACATGACAAACGGTTTCCATAGCGGAATCCAATATCCAATATGTTTTTCACGAGCTAGTGTAAACCAATTTGATTTCTTCGCGCTCGATTCTTGTTCTTTCGGTACGGCTCCAGGTGTTCGGTAATGTCCAATGGATGGAGGTCTAGCCACTCGACTGTCTGATTCTAGTCAGTTGGCAGTTGGTTGTGAGTTTGTATGTCTCGGGATTTGAATGAAACGTTTGTTTCAGGGCAGTAGGGTTTCTGGATACTAGCAGCCGTCACTTTACCAAACCGGAGATCAGTTAGTTGCAATGTGGAGAGTAATAAGGGTAATAAGGGTAAATTAAAATGATAATATGAGTAAAATTTCAGAACTGAGTAATATATAGATGAATTTAGTTTATTAATTGGTAGTGAAGATTGTGAGAGAGGACCGAAGTGTAAGCAAGGGAGAGGAATAGGCGAGATAGATTAATCGAGTGATCTGAGGAGATGGCAATGGTAACAACTAGCAGGTCTCAAGATATGCATCAGACACAGCTTTTCCAAGAGGGAGATGATAGTCCGTATCTGAGTACGTGATTATCAAGTCTCTTCTTAAAGCAGTCCACTGAGGGGGCTGTAATTACCTCGGCTGGGAGAGCATTTCAAGTTGCGACGACTCGCAATGAGAAAAAGTGTGCACGAATCTGAGTGTTTGCTCTTTGATGTGCAATCTTTTGAGGATTGCCTCGAGGGGAGTGGTGGTGATGCATCGGTGAGATGCTCACATTGCGATGGTTTGGCGTGTTTAATATGGTGTACGCCATAATCAGGTCACCTCTGATTCTCCTGTAGCTCAGTGGGAACGATCCCAAGAGCTGGAGTCTATCGTCGTAGGGTTTATTTTTCAACCCTATCACCCATTTGGTTGCTCGTCTCTGCACTCGATCCAAGAGATTAATGTCTCTTTTAAGCAGAGGGGGTGCGATGACGTTGTGAACCTCCAAGTGTGGGCGCGCGTACGTCTTAAAGAGGGTAAAAAATAATCTCGGGGTTATAGCACCAAGCTGTCTTCGCATAAAGTGAAGAGTCGCATTTGCCTTGGCTGCATCCCCTACATAGTTCGGACTCGTGTGGAGGCTTTCTGTGGTTATTAAACCAAGATCGCGCTCTGAGGAGACATTAAGGAGCGGACTTCCATTGAGAGTGTAGGTGGTTTGCGTCATATGAGGCAGGAAATGCATGACGTGGCACTTCGGTTGGTTGAGTTTTAAACCGTTTTTCACTGCCCATTTCTCAATGGATGTAAGGTCCTTTTGAAGCTCAGTCGAATCCTCCTCGCTTCTAATGGACCTCCAGATCTTCACATCGTCTGCGTAGATCAGTGCCGGTGAGCTAACTAAGCTTAGCAGGTCGGTAATGAATATCAGGAAGAGGAGTGGGCCTAGGATGGTCCCCTGTGAAACTCCTGAAGTGGATACTCTCCAACTCGTGTGCATCCTGTTTACCTTGGTGCGAAACTTTCTATTCTCAAGGTAGTTTCTGAGCCAAGATACGAGTGGGTCAGTGAAGCCCATTTCCACAACCTTTTCGACTAGGCGTGCGTGGGGCACTGTGTCAAAGGCTTTTGCGAAGTCGAGAAATACTACGTGCACTGGTATTTTACGGTCCAAGCAGGATGTCCAACTGTCCCATGCGATGAGAATATTAGATGCACACGACCTGCATTTCCGAAACCCGTGTTGAGCTTCATGGAGTATTTTATTCTTATCCATGTACTCCCTCATTTGTTCGTCCACCAGCCCTTCCATAACCTTTGATAATATAGGTAGTAGTGCGACTGGTCTGTAACAGGCTGGGTCCTTTCTATCTCCTCCTTTGAAGATTGGAGAGAGAGTAGCTTGTTTCCATTCCGCTGGGAATTGGTGTGACTCCAGTGAATGCCTGAACAGGTTGCATAACGGTGAACAGAGGGCTTCAGCGCACTGTTGCAAGACTATAGGGCGGATGTTGTCACAATCTGGTGACTTACCTGGGCGTAAGGATTTTAGTTTCCTTAATACTAGGTCAGGAGTGATACGGATGTTCCCTAGGCCGTCAGCTGGCATTGGGTTGGCGTAATACTCTGAACATGTAGGCGCCTGGTTTAATTGATCAGAAAAATAGGTGTTGAAGATTTCGGCCATCTCTAGGTTGGTGATGTCTTCTCCGTTAGGCCCTTTTAGGGGGTACAACCCTTGATTAGTAGGTTTTCTTTTGGACATGAACCTAAACAGATGTTTCGGGTTTGCCTCTATTCTGGCGGCTAGTATCGTCTGTAATTGTCTCCTGTCGCTTCGAACTTTGGTATTGCATCTGTTTCTCAATGCCAAGTAAGAACTGCGATCGGAATCCTTCAAGGAGACCTTTCACTTGTGCCAGGCTTTCCTCTTCGCCTGTAGCAAGCGTTCCGTGCCGCGCCTAACCCAGGTTCTTCTGTTCTTGCGTTTTAGGTGTGATTGAGATACGTTGTCTACGACAGCGTTTTGGATGATATCTCTCACTGCTTGCCAGTGATCATCTACTGTCAGCCTCCGCCATTCCCGTGGCCATGGGGCATGTAGGAGCACCTCTCTCATGCGTGTGTAGTTTGCCCTACTGTAGCAAAGGTAAGGCTCGTTATCGTCCGGTGTCAGCGTTTCGTTTGTGACCATGTTAAACAGGACTGTGCCATGGTCACTACTACCTATTGAAGTATAATGAACCTTCAGGTCAAATAAATCTGTCTCAATATCGATACCTGTTTCAAGCCAGCGGTTAATAAATAAAAGCGAAATTGAGCTAAGTTCAATTGATGAATAGATCTGCTGAAGAACAAAAGCTGGTTTAAACAAAACCAAAGTAACAACAGCATCAATTCCAATATCTTTTTCATGAGCTAGTATGAACCAATTTACTTCTTTGCGTTCGCCTCCTGTCGCTTCAGCATGGATCCAGGTATTTGATAGTGTTCAATGAATATGACTCTTGTCACTCAATTCCACTAATTTTGGCAAGCTGGCAGTTGTTCTTGAGTTTTTATGTCCACTGATATGAGTGAGCACTTTTATTTCATGTTAGTAGGGCTTCCGAATATCAGCAGCTAACACGTTTCCAGACCGGAGATAAGTAGGTTGCAATATGGAGAATAATGAGGAGAGAATTCTAATTCTAATGAGAGTAAGGTTTCAGGACTAAATAAATAAATGGATAATTTTTGTTTATAAATTGGTAGTGAAAATTGTGCGAGAGGACCGAAGTGTAAGCAGAGATAACAAACGATATAAATTAAGTTAGGGACCTAAGGAGATAGCAAAACTATCAAATAGCAAGTCTCAAGACATGAATTTGTATGTCCCATCATTTGAGTAATTTAGTTTCAGGCCAGTGGAGATTCTTGAGTCGAGTATCTTTCACATCACTTAGCCGGAGATCAGCTGGTTGCTATGCTGAAAATAATAAGGAAAATTCTAGTGCTAAAGCGTAAACGAATGTTTCAGAAGGCAGATAAATATTGTTAGATAGTTAGTTAGTTAGTAGAGAAAGTGGTATGAGAACTCCGAACAGTAAGGATAAGGAAGGAATCACATGTGATAATAAGCGGAAGAGAAATTTTTTATTGTACGAGACAACGGATTACATCATACGAGTTTCAGGACTTTCGTCAACTAGTCCAAGCGAGAGGGAGCTAAATTGACTTTGGTTGGGAGAAAATTCCAAGTGGAAGCAAGATAAAGGGCGGTGTGCCTGTGTGTTTGCTCTTTGATGAGCATTTTTCCGAGGATTACTAAGAAAGCCGTTGTGTGATGATTTCGTCGAAGCAATTTATAATACTTCGTATGCTATAAGCCATTACCAAGTCACTTCGTATTATCCTATAACTCGGCATGAATATTCCCAAATTTTTGAGTCTGCGTTCGTGAGATATATTCTTCGGTTACTCCTCTCTGCCCTCTATCTAAGAGATTTGTCTCTTTTAAAAGGGATGGAGTGCAACAACACTGTGAACCTCAAGGTGGAACTGTGCTTGTGTTATGGAAAGGACCAGGAATAACTCCGGAATGATTTTATCGAATTGTCTTTGCCTTGGGTTCAGTTCTTATTTAGTGTGAAATGGTCTCCAAACTCCCTGTGGTTCTAAGCTGAGATCGTGTTCTGAAAAGATCATCGGGAGTGGACTTTCATGGAGGACGGGATTTGCTTGTGCGGAATGCAACAGAAAGTTTCTGAAGTAAAATATCGATTTGTTAGATTTTAGCCGGTTGTACGCTGCCCATTCCTCTGCTGATACAACAGTTTGGACATAAGGGACATAAGAGTAAGAATAGTAATCTATCGAAGGCCTTGCAAAACCATGAAATACTACATAAAACCAAAAATTTTGGTCACATTTGTCTGTTTCTGGAGTTCGGTTTTCCGGTCGTAAGTAACGCTCGGGTACGACTAAACACACTGTACCGAAAAAAATAGGCTTAAATTATTTCCTAAGTGTTCTACCAAACGATATTTTTATTTTTATATTTTTGCACAGTTTCGTACCTTAACTTTTAGACTCTTACAGCCACGTTTTGTGTCCGTTTCATAAGCCACTAGTAGTTGACTCTGAGTAGCCCCTATTATGTAATTTTGCCGTCCCTGGTTACCGGACAAGGACATGTCTGACTAAACACCAGGTTACCGTATCTTTCCTTCCATGAGTATAGACCCTTGACTATCTTACGGCAACGCTCTCTTGAATTCTTGTAGATAGATATTCAATCCTATCTTCTTGAGAATATTTTAATCCATTTCCACTACCTTATTTTATGTTACAGAAGCCTTGGAACAGGTTGCACTGTTTGTGAGCTACTGAAATTTATCACATGATCTGTGCTTTGATATGAACAAGACGAGCTACTCAGAAATGCCTTGTGTACTGTAAAAAGTGTGGAATAGTTTTTCATGATGGCTAAAACATGACACAACTTTTGATACCGATGTGGCGAATGCTGCTCACAAAGTGGTATATTGGTAGCTACTAGAGGAGAGAATATTTCGATATACCCAGTAACACTTTTCGCTTTCTGCGCAGTTGAGTAATAATTAGTAAAAATATGTGGAATATATCGGTGTGTGATGAGCATTTTACTTGTCAAAGTCTTAGTGTAGGACATAAATACAACCAATGTAGTATTAATTGGTTGGCAGATTTATGAGATATATGAATGTCAAAATAATGCTACATTTGCTTGTTCACTTGACAGCTTTCATTCACCTTTAGACAAAATAGTACAACCATCTACCTAAGTACAGTATAACCAAAGGATATTATCGAGTTCGCTAAAGCCGCTAGGCAAATCATGTGTTTAAAGGTGTCCTCGACAACAGAGGTCAGTTAGAAACAAGCGTCGTTTGGGAAGCAAACTGAAGGGCTGAAACAACAATTTGCGGAACAAGAGTGGTTGGAGCTTCGAATGTGATGAAGTTTGGCACTACAGGATAAATTGTATAATGAAACGCAAAATGAGAACATTCGGACTCTATATTGTGTTTTTTCCGCTGAAATGCGGTAGCATTGATTTAGTTAGTGAGTAAGGATGCTATGTACATGAAAATATGACGAAGTGAGAAAACGTCAGCCTTCTTGATCGACACAGACACGGCTATATCTTTAGTAAATTATTATCATTATTATTATTATTATTATTGTTATTATTAGTATAGGTATGAAAATTCTGAGCAATTAGGCCATGCGTACTAGTACTAGATTCGGACCTAGTTACACCTGTTCATTGTCAAGAATCCGATCCAGCTCTCTAATCGGTGAGATTAGAGCTCTCTGAAGGAGTACCATGGTACAAACAAGGATATAACCATGCTCCCAACCTAGAAAATTAGAACAGAAATAAAGGCTAAAAGAGTGCTGACTTGGTGGACATGATAGCTGGACCTAAAAAGGTTAAAACTGGCTAAACGATAAAAAATCATAACGAATCTTGAGGCTAGTGAATTATGATAGATAATTTCTTTCAAACTGTGCCACAAAAATACAACCATTGGTGGGCGCTTTTCCAGGACATAATCGTACATTCCGTCTATCAGCGGAAGCATGGTTCACAGCAGTGAGAGTCGTATTGCAGTAGTTACTAAATGGCACATTGTAACCACTTTCGTTTTTATTAATGAGATTAAATCTTGCTCAAACGTGGTGCAGTACAATCAGAAGAGAACTTCATACGATCTACTTGGTAATAAAGCACATCCGATAAATTATGTGGGTATCACTTTTACAGTGTTTACAGATCATACACCTTTCTTTAAAACATTAGAGATAGGGCTCATACTTTGAAGGCTGTAGCTTTATCTAATGTAATTTATATAATTCCCTCTCCCCCATTTTACTCGAAGTCAACGGTATATATACGGATAATTTTTGTACCAAGACACCGTTTTATTTTAGTCATATCTTTTCGACATCGTTTTCGGCTTCATACATTTAGTACCCAAAGGATATTATATTTAATCCTACCACCTGACATCTTTATTCTATCAAGTTAATTTTGAATAGAACATCCAAGTACTACAAACTCCACTGTCTATCAAATCGTACACTGTGTCACAAATATGTAGATTATTCACTCAAAGATATATTCATTACCTCACCTGAGTTTACACAGAATGAACACCCACTAAACACTTTAAAAAAGTTTGCACGTAACCTTGTCAGACCTAATGGGTTAAAATAAACTGCAATGCTTTTATTAATACTATTTTTTAAAACAGCGAATTTGGACTAAGCATTTACCAAACCATTCACAATTTATTAACAAACAAATACTTGATCAGCGTTCTAGAAAATTCTGATCTCGAAATTATAAAAAAACCGAAATAGCTATTGCCCATATATCCTCAGAAGTGTTAAAAAGGCTTCAGTGTATACAAAGTGCCATTGTTCATCACATACCTGACAGTGAAAGCTCAAAGTCTGTTAAAAATTCTAGTTATAGAGTCTGGATTATTCCACTCATGGTGTATAGCACTCAGGTTACGTAAAGTCCGAACGAAATTCTCCTGTCCTATTCTCCTTCACTTTAGTAGTATTTAGTAGCTAATTACTTCATTAACATTAGGTCAGCACTTAAACACATCCCGCTATTTAAGAAGATTGGAAATATTCATGACGGGACTACAATTCAACATCGAATCAATAATAAGCTACCGGTTAAGGAAACATTGCACTTTGAAAGCATACTTAGCCCTTTAGACACACATGGTTGACTGTAACATGTGCACTTACCTACATGAAACCCCAACATTCTGGACTTGATACTTTGTCATGACATCAGGAAATGCCTTATTGACTCCTAACAACGGCTTCATTAGGACTAGGTCATGCACTGTAAGTCCGACAGGTTTCTTTAATGAAGTTACCAGCATACGCAATCAAAAGAGAGGAGTAGACTCAGAAATTAACTGTTTGGTAGAACAAATTTACCGTGAGTTGTAAGACTTGCAAATGTAATAAGCTATATTCAACCTGTTTCTGCTCAACCGCAATAAAATAATGTTTTCGTCTAACCATTATTACAACATTTGTAAGTCAAGATACATTATGGCAATTCATAAAGCAGCATACGAAGGACTTTGAAAGTTCTCCAGCATGAAACTTAGGCCAAGCATAATGATAAAAACGTAAAAAAAGCGATTGAATCAGGACTTTGGAAGCCACAGAAATAGGAAATCTACCATCATAAAGTGACATAAGACATATAAGTTCTTCATGTTCGACCTCAAGACACATATTTAGTACATGTAAATTTGGTTACGTCTATATATAAAAAAAGATAACAACATGGTTGTAGTAGATCTCCATTAAGGTCATGTTCAGCAGCATAATGGAGCGGGATGTAATCACTGAAATAAACAAAAGTGTGTAAAAACACACTGTGATTGAAAATATCGTAAAGTGTGCTTATTAGTGACTAGCTTCGTGAGTAAATCCCCGGAGTTCTAGCTGAGAAGACGTGACTAGTGGAGTTCAACCCTGTCGGGTGTAGGCAGTAACTACCAAAGACAAATGGGTGAGGTAGCGCAAAATCCCTAGAGCAATCAGAGTTAGACATGAACGCCGTTAGATGCCGGCCCAGTGGTACAATGGTTAGGCGTTCGCGCACAAGACCGGAGGTCTCTGGTTCAAATCCTGCGAGGAGCAGGAGTCGTGGATACGTACTGCTGATAAGTCCCATACCAGGACGAGACGGCCGTCCAGTGCTTCCAGGTTTCTAATGGTGGTCTAACAATGATTGATTGATGATTTCAAATGTGTAAAAACACTAATCTCCATAACTCTAACTGAAAAGTTTTGACATTCAAAATGCGACAATGTGGAATGTAATGCCCGTGTAAAATAAGGGAGAAAGTACACACTTTGGATGTAATGTTTTAATCTTAACATTTTACATTCGGATGACTTTTAAGTACCTAGTATCAAATACTCACCCATGGATTACAACCTCTTGCTCATACTTGTTGTCCTGAGTATTTGTCTCGTAATTTATCTCTAAGTGTCGTTATCACTTTTTAACTTATACCGATCTCTTTTATTAACCCCACTTAATTATTATATATTACATTTTTCCCCATACAAACTGTCGCCATAAATAAACGATTAATTAATTTTTTCAGTCATCTTCTAGTTTATCTCGTTATTTCCCACACTGCAGCTAACTGGTCTGATTCTTGTTTATGTGATAGCTTCGGTTCATTATAAGCTCACTATGCTTACAAGAAATACGAATCGATATAAAACCCTCAAAGTGATTAAAACTAGTGCAATCTAAGAGCTAAAACACCTCTCAGTGGATATTATGAAGTCTCTAGTACTGCGACGAAACAATAAGAAACGAGTGTCAAGAAATCCGTCAGTTTAAATCATTTGAAACCAACTTTCTATTTCATCCACAATTATTTTAACCCTGATTTCTTTTTTTTGTAGGCATAGATCTCTTTATATGTATAAGGATAACCAAAATGGATCTTGCTGTTAACGATTTCCTTTATTTCTCAAAATTCATACCCGGCTACAGTTTTGTTTTAATTTATCACCCAGGTCTAATCCAGTACGACCCAATAAACGTGGGTAAATGATTCACAGTTTCTAAGATTCACAACACGGCGCAGCTGAACTCCCTTCGAATTAAAACCATTGACTAATTGATTGCTGGTATCGATATCTATAATTAGGCAAGTAAAGTTAGTTAGAAGCCAATTGGGAAGTGATATTATCAATATTTCATCGGGAGATTCCAATTATCTCTTTCACGAGCCAATATGAACCAGCTGATTTTTTTTGAGGTCACTTCTTGTTCTTTCAGTATGGTTCCATGTATTTGGTAATGGCCAATGGATGACAGCCTAAAAGTGGCTCACATGGCAATCCCAAGCAATTGACCAGGCTTCATACTGCATTTCTAAGGCATGTTTTGAATTATTCCTAACGCTATGGGAGTTCGTCCTAAAGTTCCTATGTTTTGGACGTGTTTTACATTTACTACATTTGGCCTAACATGCAGTTTCATCTCAATGGTTATGCCTTACTGGTATGCCAGGTATCCTCAGTCTCAAAATCGTTTTGTAAGATTGGGGTTATGGGAAGTATGTTTTGAAGGCTATATGGCGAAAGAAACAGGAAATCGCATGTATTTTGGATGTTTTTACTTGTTTGATACAAAAATCGTCACTCTGTGGCCGATCATATTCAGAGGTATGGAACTTGTTTATATCGAAAACCTTTCTTGAAGACTGGTTTATTGCTTGCCAGGTGTTATTTACATGCAGTTTTGCAACCTATATACTAGCAGAATGTGTTATCTTAACTCAAGCTCTCGGGCTGGTTTCACTTTTTGGGTCGCGTGCTGTCTTATGTACAATGGTGACACTATCAGTTAGCTGTAAGTTTTAGTCACATTTTTACCTGTGTTTAAATATTTTTGTCTCAGAGCCAGGTTTAATTGACTCGGACGAAACAAACAATCTCTCACTGGGTTGAATGCTAAACCTGTAATTGCCAACCTTCCAATCATCTCCAAAATTAACTGCTATCTCGTACTTAGCGCTAGCTTACACTACAATCTCGGCTGTACAAAATCCTCTAGTCAAACTATCGTAATAGAGAATCGTCAAGATTTTTTTTACCGACTTCCTATATTTCGAATTCGCTAAAGAAATTATATATATATATAAATTGTCAAACTAGGCATCATACTTTCCAGAGGTAGTATTCCGCACGACTATTTAATAGTACAATATACATTTTAACGTCATGTAGTGAATTCCATATATATTGGTTAAGCGAAGAATCTGGTTTTAATCGAATGTTCCAGATTTGTTAAAAATGCTTATGGATATTCTTGGGAATGGATATAACCTGTTTTCATGGATTCACTGGAAATATTTGGCCACTTTAGTTTACTAATCATACTAGTCATGTAGACTATGCCAAGTGAAATTATCTGATTTAACTGTGCCATAGTTAGATTTATGACAAAGCTTAATATTTTTATTTATAAGACATTCCGAAAATTAGTTTTGTTCATCGGTAAGCCACCAAGTTATTCTTACTCTTTGTTTAGTCTGTATGAAGGATTATTTGTTTTTTCTTAAAGCAGTTGATAGATTCAATATAACGCAGTTTCTGATAATACTCTTTGTTTTCTGAAAGGAATCTTGAAATGAAGTGTTCATAATTGTAAATAATGACTTATTATTAGATAAAAAAATATGGAGATACCAAGAAACCCTCCACTTTAGCCTTGAACTTCATTTACTTGAAACGCATTTCAGTTGCATTCAAAAAGAAAATCGCTCTGATTAGGATAATCCGCTACTGTTAGAAGGACATACTATACACTATGAATATTTTCAGTACGTCTATTATCGTTTATTTTCCTGTCGATAACCATCAGAAATCAATATTTAATAAAGGTAGTGGGTTATTAAGTACATGCCATTCTAGCGGCGTACGTATATTTTCATCCATCAGAGCATTTGTAAATTAAAACTTATTCGAATTATATTTTGTCTGATAAAACTTGGAAAAGTCACTACATGATTGTGATATTCTTCTACAGCGAGAAGAACTTTATTTATATTTTCGGAACCGTCATTTATTACATTTTAGATACCGACAATAGTTGTTTAGTCAGCTAAACTTCGGTTTCACTATACCCCAATGCAGTGAAAGGTAACATATCCGCAGTAATAATTCTAAGTACCCTTTGAAGGATATTTTAGCACTGTATTGTAACTTTGAACCTTAAGGTGAAGTCAAGACCAGATAGAATATATACATTTCAATAGGATAGTTTATTTACAAAATATATACACATAATCTTGAGACATCTACTTGCAGCAAAAGCAGGTTGCTGCCTTTTTTCTGTCATGTCTGTTCTGGTTTTCGAAACGCTCTGATTGTGTCATGCTCTTTGACGTTTAGACACTCCACTTGGTAGAAACGTTTAGGTAACGCTCCGCTGCATATTACTTATATGCCGTCTCGTGAGTAGTATATACCAAAGCAGTTATTAAAAATTAAGAGTATTTTTAAGCCAAAAAAGCTCTAGAATGATTATATTATGCAAGAAATCATATGATTCCGTTTTCGCATGCAACAACTGTTGTCATGACAGTTTTGGATTAAAAGAAAAACAATTTGTTTGTCGTCAGAAATATATTGAAAATGATTGCGATTTGAAAAGACGATGGCAAGAAACGATATGTTTAATATATATTAAACAATTGGGTTTCGTACCTAACCCTTAGAAAAAAAGCTTATTTGTTGGATTGAAATGGTTAATGAGTGCTTAAAGCAACTAATTATCAATTTTCGCATGAAATTAGGCAGTTAGGTGATACCACCGGATGACATATTGAAAGAATATTTCAAGCTGAGTAGAATGTTTGTTTCGTCAAAAGCTCTTTTATCATCGTCCATTGTGCAGACAGATACAACGCAGAACTTCGTACGTAAGTACATCAGTTCAGGTTGCCATGCCCCCCATCAGCACAGAGACGCAACTGTCAGTTCACATCCAAGAGTGATAGCAATAAAAGAAGTATTAGCAGTAATGGAGAAGATTAGGGAGCAAAGAAATGATTCGAGAAGTATAATTCAGTAAGATAAATTTAGAAAGAGAAGGAGAGATTATGAGGAATGCAGAAGGTTAGAATTAGAGAGAACACAATGAGTGGATGCACCTGCGCCATTGCAAACGATTCTGAGCCATATCGTTCAAGGTCTCTAACCATCGGTAACTATCGTCTCGCGGACCCCAACAAGGTAGTCCACATCTACCAATATGACTCAGTCCACTTGTCAGTGACTACATGCATTTCTGCTATGTTTTGGTTTGGCCGCCCTTAGCTTTCTTCCAATCTACTCCTACACTGCAAAACATAGCTCGTCGAGGCAGTCGGTGGTTAGCCATACTTAACACATGTCCCAACCACCTCAAATGATGAAGTTTCACCACTTCATCTATTGATCTGCCATCCTTACCTAGCACCCGTTTCCTAACGACAGCATTGCTTACTCGGTTGTCCCACGATATACGAGCAATGCTTCTTAAACATCGATGATCGAAGACTAGTAACCTACGGATGTCCTCTACCCTCACTGGCCATGTTTCACAGCCATAAAGTAAGACGGAGCGAAATACTGCACAGTACACTCATCCTTTATTCAGAAAACGGATATCTCGCCTACGCCATAAATGACGCAGGTTGGCAAAAGCCAGTTGAGCCTTCTATATCCGAGCTGAGATTTTGTCAGTCACCAGGCCATCGGCACAGATGAGACTCCCCAGATAAGTGAAGCGGTCTACACGCTCGACTACTTCACTCCCTATTACTAGTTCAGGTGCCGATGCAACCCAATCCTGAGGCAACATTTTACATTTCGAGGGGAAAACTGCATCCCGAACATGCTTGCATTGTTGCTTAGGGTGGTCAGAAGACCCTGAAGGTTTTGTGGTCACCTTTCTAATTATCACCCGGTTATACTTATCACCATTGTCTACAAAATCACTTGACTGATTTGTGCTTGATACTGAGAACTCAAATCTGGCGATGAACAGCTCTCAAAATAAATAGAAATGATGTGTGAATATGCTACTTTTTATATGATTTATTTGCTGTCAGATGTGTATCCACTGAAATCAGTAGTATTTGAAAATATATTAGTCATATCATAAAATGAACTATCCATAAACTATTATATTTAATTGAATAAACTTAGTGATTACTCTCTTCTCAGTTTATAATTGCGTGTCACAGACGATCAATTTCATGCCAGTCTCTCACATCAATAGGCTAAGTCATTGCTTGCTCTATATCCTAAAATTTCTATTCATTTTGTTTGTTTCAGGTCTTTTGACTTTAGCTAGTCTAATAATAATGGGTGCAGGAGTAGATGCTGAACGAAAAGTTGAAAGAGCTGTAAAACGTCCTTGGTTAGAAGATCTAAGTCAAAACTCATTATCCTGGTCATATGGTTTAGCTGCAGTGTCATTATTACCAAGCTGGATTACAGTGATAATTTTAGGATGGTTTGTTTACCCTAAACGGTAGGATTTAAAATGTTAAAATAATAAGGTTTTTTTTTATCACATTTGTTATTTATTGTCGATAAAATTTGAGGTGTAGCATGTTGATTTAAGCCATCTAATTTTTAATCCCAGATTTATAGGGGTAGTGAATTTACTCTATGTGCATCGGTTTTTGGCAGATGAGTAGTATCTCTACATTTTATATAAAATGTATAACTTAAATCCATGTGCACAAATATTTACTTAATTACTGATATGATGTCCAGTACTTTAACTTACTGAGTAGTTTTGGACCTTCAAAATTTATAATGTCCAGTAATTTATGACACCTGGTAACGTCTAATTTGTGTTAACTCGCTGCTGGTTTTCTCCCTCGAAATGCAAAATGTTGCTTCAAGATTGGGTTTCATCGGCACCTGAACTAGTGATAGGGAGTGAAGTAGTCGAACATGTAGACCGCTTCACTTATCTGGGGAGTCTCATCAGCGCCGATAGCCTGGTGACTGACGAAATGCCAGCTCGGATACAGAAAGCTCGATTGGCTTTTGCCAACCTGCGTCACTTATGGCGTAGGCGAGATATCCATTTGCTTACTAAAGGACGAGTATACTGTGCAGCAGTTCGCTCCGTTCTCCTATATGGCTGTGAAACATGGCCGTTAAGAGTAGAAGATGTTCGTAGGTTATCAGTATTCGATCATAGATGTTTAAGAAGCATTGCTCGTATATCGTGGGACAACCGAGTAAGCAATACTGTCTTTAGGAAACGAGTACTAGGTAAGGATGGCAGATCAATAGATGAAGTATTGAAAGTTCATCATTTGAGGTGGTTGGGACATGTGTTGCGTATGCCCAACCACCGACTGCCTCGAAGAGCTTTGTTTTGTAGTGTAGGAATAGGTTGGAAGAAAGTTAGAGGCGGCCAAACCAAAACATGGCAGAAATCCGTGAAGTCATTGACGAGTGGACTTAGCCATGCCGGTAATTGTCGACTACCTGGTTGGGGTCCGTGAGATGATAATAATCGATGGTTAGAGACCTTGAATGACATGGCTCAAAATCGTTCGCAATGGCGCCGGTGCATTTATGCTTTGTGTTCTCTCAAATCTTCTGGGTTCTTCAACAACTCTACTTTTGTCTTTCTAAACTTTTCTCACTAAACCATACTTTTTGAATAATATCTTCTAATCCTAACCTCTCCGATTACTTCTAATACCTTTACTACCTCTTCTACTATTGGATTTGAATTGACAATTACATCTCTGTGGTGATGTGGTGTGGCGACATGAACTGATGTAGTTACGTTCGAAGTTTTACGTTGCATCTGACCGACTGAGTGATATAAACACGTTGGTTTATGACATTAAAAGCCCATTCGGCTGTGCTGCTTTCTTGTTTCACCAGTTGATGAGTTACGCTTATAATGAACTTGTCATGTGAGCAGCTGTCATTCGTTTACATCATATCATTGCTTATCATCAATAGATCAGTATTGCATTTACTTATTTAAAAAATTCAAAACCGCGATCATCAAATCATCAACTTTTCAGTAAGTCTGTCGTAAACAACATCGAGTTTAACATAAACGAGCGTTAAACCCAGTCACCTTGACATATCAAGAAAGTGAGAAGTCAAAAAGATGGGCAGCAAAGGAATCAAAATCATAGAGTAGGGCTTTTATATCTAGTAAATAAATAGTAAAGGCATATATTCAGATCAGCGTTGTTAGCACATTTCATCTCATTTTACATTATTACATAATATCGATTTTTCATTTCCTCAATCATAAGCTAAATCCCATGTTTTCGTTAAAATTAATGTGTTTATCTGTGACTCACATACATTTGTTTGATTGTTAACAGAGGGTTTGAATCATCTTGTCAGTGGTATTTAGAACTGAATCTCGATCACTATGTGTCAACATATGTGCATCTTGTGCAGACTGTCTCGATATTGTCATCTCATTACACTGGCATTGGAATCTCAAGTAGAACATACTGTGCTCTGTGAATCCCAGTGCTAATCACAGCCTTTTTATTAGTTACGTCGTGCCTTATTCTAACTGATGCTGAAACTTAAAGGTAGTCATTCTGTATAGTCTTGTAGTATTTTGAATTAAAAATCTTACCACCCTATACCAATGTTACGCTAGATGTTCAAGAAAATGAAGACTGTTTTATTTATAAAAGTCGGATAACAGTGAAAGAATAAGATAAAATCTTATTTTCCCTGAACATTTACTACATTAGACTGTAGCATATAGAACTGAGCAAATAAAATCAGTTTGCTTTATTGAATTGTTCTATTAGAGTCTTCAAGATTATCCCTCTCTAGACTATCAGTTCAAAAAGTATCGATTTACTACCTGAAAAACATTACTGTTTCTTGTTGTTGTTGTCGAGTTATAGACCTAATCATTATGTTAAGATAAATAAGTTTTCTTTAGCATATACATTCAAGTCTGTAACAAACTTAATTTTTCTGTCTCTTATAACATAACATAACAGATTTTCCTACGGGTTATTAGTTCATTCAGCATGGAATTGGCCAACATTGAATGATTTACAATGTCACTATCATCGTATTGTTGATCTGTCTGCTCCACAAATCTTTTCATCTTCAAATCCTCAGTCATCATGTAATATTACAACTATGTCAATTGATTATCCGCATTCATTGCATTCTCGTACATTGATTCAATCCGGTCGGAATACTGGAAATCCGTTGTCTGATGAATTGAATAACAAAATATTATGTAAGCCAACATTATTATCTCACGTAATGTCACGTAATAATCAGTTGGAGTCGGGACAAGAACTACTTATAAGTAGTTCGCACCACAGCACCACACTATCATCAGATAATTATGGCAAAATGAGCAGTTATGATCCACGTTCTGCGGATACAATATCAGTAAGATGATCATATTATATTAATTAAACTTTCATATACATCTACCTGATGTAATACTTTTTCTCATTGTGAAAATTAGAACAACACATATAAGCACATATATAGCCATGGGTTCACTTCTGGGCCCAGTTCTAGCGGATCTCTTCCTAGCAAAGCTAGAAAATGGACCACTTAAAGAAGCTATTCAGAATCTTGATCGATACTTGTTGTAACGGTTGCTTACGATATTTCCCGGTTAAGTCTTGTTGCTTAGTATTCTTGACACAAAACACTGGACAAGTAACACAAATCAAAACACGGTTGAACAGGAAGGATTGTATTCCAAAATAGCAAGGAAAAGAAGCTGGAGGTGATGACGAAAGCCAAGGCAAAAAGGCTTGAAAGCGAAGAAGGCTAGAAGGCCTGAAGGCAGAGATAAATACAATGCTAGTCTATTTATAGCCTTTGCATGAGAAAACTTCCGGAAGGAAATTCACGTGATCGACTGTACTGGATTTGACCAATCAGCATGCAGCTAATAATACGAGAATTTTCTATCCTGTTCTCCAAGCTTCGATCAGGCGCTGATTGGATAGGAAATTAGCCAATCAGCGCGCAGTGACGTAATCATGCTTTAAATCTCATCTATGTCCCACTAACACCTCCCCTTTGAGAAGATTCATAGGATCTGGTGCTAGGGTCCAACTGCTTCCTGGGTGCCTTGCCACCCGTACTCTTACGAGCCGCCTGCTTTGTAGGAACCATATCTTTAAACAACCGTCGATTGGGCTGCTTCCCCACCGATAAGTTTTGTTGAGGCTCATGAACAGCATATGGTATAGGGCGTCTCGGACGTGAAGTAGGTTTGGCATCTGCTTTCGCTGGTAGGTTAGCTTTCAGATTCGTACAGCGGCCAAGGCTATTCTGAGAACCAGAGGCTGACTTCCTCTTTCGTTTATCTTGTAACCTTTCACCTGTCTTCTTTTTAAGTATCGGGGTGTCCAATGATGAACACGATACGCTGCAGACACTGTTAATGGGTAAATCCATTATTCCCAGCTTTTCTAGCATATCTAGACCAAGAAGATCAAGGTTTGGCCGTTCTGTCAGATAGCATATACCTGTACATTTTGTCCCGTTGAAGGAAAATTTACATTGGAATTCACCAGCCAGTTTTAACACGCCACCTGAAGCGCTTTTAGCTGTTTTCTTAGATGGCTTCATTGGCGGTTTTCCCAGCATGTTGTACGTTTCTCTAGACATTAAGGTGATATCTGATGCCGTGTCGATTTGGAAACGAGCTGATGCACCGTTCATCTGGATAGTAACATACTTTCTCCGAACGTCATAGTCTGTTTGAAAAGCAGCTACGAGAGAAAGTGATTTAGACTCGGCTGATTTCACCACATGTCGAGTACGTTTGCGCTTCTTCTTGGGTTGAGACGTACGATTTGGTTGGCAATGGCCTTCTTTATGTCCACGTTTATGGCACATCTGACATTTATGTTTTTTAAACGGACAAAATCGTACGTAGTGCCAATCACCACATAACCAACATGCCGTCGTTGGTTTGTTACGAGATGCTATCGGCTTCTGGACTTTTAACCTAGTAATAGCATTGACACTACTGCTGGTTAAATTGTGATTTACCTGTTCAATCAACATGTTGTCGTGCCTGATACTTTTTAGGCGTTTACACTCATCTGTCAATGTTCTGAGTGTGACGTTAGGGTCTTGGTCCATTCGAATCAAAAGTCTAGTTCTGGTTTCAGCATCTTGCGGTGACTGAAGAGCTTTGATGAATATTAAGCATTTAAATTGGTCTTCCGTCAACGAGCGTAACTTGAACCGTTCACATTCTCTGTTGACGACGTCTGCAAGAACCGCATATTCATCCTCTTCGTGTTTCACCAGATTTAGACAATGATATCTAATACTAAACAATGATGAAGATTCGCCGAAAATATCTGACAGCTGAGTTACTGTCTCCTCGAAACTGAGCTCTCGAGGGTATTTCGGTAATATGTGGTCAGCGTAACGTTCATACTCATTGCTTCCCAACTTACGCAGCAACAATTGAGTCTTCCAAGCATCGTCTCGTTTACTGAATTCAATTCTAAATGTATCTTCCCAACGTTTGAACCACGTCAGAAAGGTATTTCCACATTCAGGATTATAGACGAATTCTGGTATGCTGTTTGCCACTGCTTCACAAGACGTATTTGAAACAGTATGTGGACTCGAACACTGGATGTTGAGCTGTTGAGTTAGGGTCTCCAACAACCGCATTTGTGCATCTAATTGTGCTTGCTGTTGTTGTAGTATTCGGTTAAGCTGATCATCTGAAATAGGCATCTTCAAAATTTTTTTCCTTTTTCTCCGTCGCCACCGTTGTAACGGTTTGCTTACGATATTTCCCGGTTAAATCTTATTGCTTAGTATTCTTGACACAAAACACTGGACAAGTAACACAAATCAAAACACGGTTGAACAGGAAGGATTGTATTCCAAAATAGCAAGGAAAAGAAGCTGGAGGTGATGACGAAAGCCAAGGCAAAAAGGCTTGAAAGCGAAGAAGGCTAGAAGGCCTGAAGGCAGAGATAAATACAATGCTAGTCTATTTATAGCCTTTGCATGAGAAAACTTCCGGAAGGAAATTCACGTGATCGACTGTACTGGATTTGACCAATCAGCATGCAGCTAATAATACGAGAATTTTCTATCCTGTTCTCCAAGCTTCGATCAGGCGCTGATTGGATAGGAAATTAGCCAATCAGCGCGCAGTGACGTAATCATGCTTTAAATCTCATCTATGTCCCTCTAACAATACTGTTGGTACGTCGATGACACATTCATCATTGCAGACTAGGACATCAGCAAAGAAAAACTCCTGGAACAATTCAACAGTGTACACCCGGAAATCACTTTCACTGGTGAAGAGGAGTACGATAAAAATCTGACCTTCCTTGACGTCACACTAAGTAGACGAAGTGATGACTCACTAAGTAGAAGTGTATATAGAAAAAATCCCACTCACTTTTGTAGTTTTACACCTATCCGCTACAAAGGAAACTTGGTTAGATGTCTCACTAGCAGAGCAAAAATTATTTGTTCAGTGGATACTTTAAGTCAGGAGCTGCAATTTATCAACAACTCACTGACCGAGATCGGCTACCCCAGCACACTCATAAGGAAGTATATGGTTGATGTGAAAAAGAAGTCAGTAATTTCGACCGTCCGAAAGAAGCCATTATTTATTAATTTATGATTCAACAGAGATGTGACCTGCGATACTCTTCAGGACAGATTAATGAGAGCAATTAATAGAACATGCAATGCAACCAAACTTGCGTTGACCTTCTCAAGTTGACCAGCGATGTCTTAATACTATCACTACACCTGTCTTCCTACTATCCATTTGTACTTTTGTCTATTATATGTAGTGACGTAATCTCTATTTCATTTCATTGTGATTATCGACTCAAATTGCCTTGATTGGTTTAACATTTTCATATAAATATTCATGTATATTAGAGAGTAAAGCCTGATGACGATCTAATCGAAAACAACAATATTGTTCGCTTATATGTGTTGTTCTCATACTTTTTCTACAAAATACATTTCTACACTATGTCAATGTAAATTAAAGTCATGGATGATAGGTTATTTGTCAAATTAATTTATGGTGGTATACAGACAGAAATTATATTGTCTAGTGCTTACTGTGATAATCAAATCCTATTGTGAAAAAATTGTAGAATAATAACTAGTCTAACTTGTTTGACATTGAAATTCCCCTATTTCATATTAGGATGATCGAAGAAAATCAGTGGGATTATTTGATATTAGAAGACCATAAAGTCACTGACAAGTGGACTGCGTCATGTTGGTAAGTGTAGACTACCTGGTTGGGCTCCACGAGACGAAAGTCACCAATGGTTAGAGACCTTGTACGACATGGCTCAAAATCGTTTGCAATGGCGCATGTATATGCATTCTTCGTGTTCTCTGAAATTATAATCTTCTGAATTCCTTATTATCACCTTTATCTTTTTCCTTTTAAGTTTATTTCACTAGATTCTACTTTTTCAATAATCTCTTCGAACTTTAATCTCTCCGATTACTGCTGATACTTCTACTACCTCTACCACTATGGGATTTGAATTGACAATTACATCTCTGTGCTAATGTGGTTTGACTAACTGAACTTATATACGTACGTACGTACGTACGAAGTTCTACATTGTAACCGATTGACTGACTGACTGACTATTCATTATCATGATGACTGATTTGTTCCACCTGCATTATTGCTGACTGTATGTTCTTTCTGATTAGTTACAAATAGCTGTTCATTGAAAATGGTATATAGAAAAATAAAAAGTTTTTCAACTTTTATTTGACTGAATATAATTACTTACGCCTGTTACCCCCAATGCATCATAGGCCGCCAACCAGTTTTCTCCAACCAACTATGTCCTGGGCTTCCCTTTCCAGTTCTGTCCAATGTTTGTTCATTCCTCTCATATCTTTCTCTATTTCTCGGCATAATGTGTTCCTTGGCCGTCCTCTTTCCCTTTGACCTTGAGGGTTCCATGTGAGGGCTTGTCTCGTGATGCAGTTCGGTGCTTCTCGTAGTGTGTCCCATCCACTTCCACCACTTCTTCCTGATTTCCTCCTCCACTGGAATCTGGTTTGTTCTCTCCCACAGTTCGTTGTTACTGATGGTGTCTGGCCAACGAATCCGAAGTATTTTGCGTAGGCAACTGTTAATAAACACTTGTATCTTCTGAATGATGGATTTGGTAGTTCTCCATGTTTCAGCTCCATACAGTCGAACTGTCTTGACATTTGTATTGAATATCCTGATTTTGGTTTTGGTTGAAAGTTGTTTGGAGTTGCAGATATTTTTCAACTGTAGAAATGCAGCCCTTGCTTTGCCAATCCGTGCCCTCACATCTGCATCGGATCCCCCTTGGTTGCCGATGATACTGCCCAGATATGTAAAGGTGTTAATGTCCTCCAAGGCATGTCGATCAAGAGTGATTTGGTTGTTGCATGTTGTGTTGCATCGGAGAATTTCGCTTTTTCCTTTATGTATGTTGAGACCTACAGCTGCAGAGACTGCTGTTACACCGGTCGTCTTCTCCTGCATTTGTTGTTGCGTGTGCGATAGAAGAGCCAGGTCATCTGCAAAGTCCAGATCGTCCAGCTGCGTCAAATATAATTACTACACTACAAAAAATGAATAGTTGATTGATATTTTTACGTAAATAATTAAAAACTTACCCTAGATGAGAAATTGTTGATGAGTTTAAAATAGATTTATATTTGAAGTTTATGAATTTCTATTTCTGTGCAGTCAGATAGTTTATGAATGATTTTACTAAAGTTGCAATAATATTGACGATTAAATTCCAGTTAATTAGTAATATTCTTGTTTATGAGGCTTCAAAGTATCTCGGCTAGTTTCTATATTATACAGAAGGTAAATGTTCTGGATGAGTTTGACAAAAGGACCGAGCAGCCATATATATATATATATATATATATTTGGAGATTTGTGTTTTTACACATTTGAAATCATAAATCAATCATTGTTAGACCACCATTAGAAACCTGGAAGCACTGAAAGACGGCCGTTTCGTCCTGGTATGGGACTCATCAGTGACAGTGCGCATCCACTATTCCTGCACCTCGCAGGATTCGAACTCGGGACCTTCGGTATTGTACACCAACGCCTAACCATATATATATATATATATATATATATATAACTTGTTTTTCATTTACTAGCTTCTATCCTATGATCAACCTCCTTCGAATTTGTTATATAATCCACAAACTACAAGTATGATGAATGAATTCAATTCAGTAATTTATTCAAAAGATGGTAATCTAACTATGAATGATTATAATTCTTCAATGCACTCCAAAACAAAATCAATTCAATCCAATTTATTGGGTTCATTCCATAAATCCACTGTGTCTTCATCTTTTTTCAAAAAAGAGTCTACAAGTAGACGACAGCAGCAGCAACAACAACAATGCACCACAAATTCTGAATCTCATTCTCATTTAAAATCGACTCTATCAAATAAATCATTGAATGGTCAACAGCCATCATACACTAATCCAGACACATCAATATGGACAGAAAGTAAACCGGATGAAAAATCATTTGAACATGATTCTGTAAGTTTAATATGATATTGAATTCAATTCAATTATGCGACTGATTATCAATTGAATATATAGTATTTCAACTCGTTTTTTAAACTTTTAACACGGGTTTTTTAAAATAACCAAAAAATTTTTTAAAATTTTCACAGCGTTTTTTAAAATTTTTTTGAAAAAATAAAATAAGAACTACTTTTAATTAAAATCTTCTTTAGCAATCGCTTTTATAAACAATTGCGACGTACGTGTCTTGTATAACCTTGTAAATCATCCCTGGTTAATTGATTTACAGAATTTAGTATTAGATTTATATATATAAAAGATTCGTTGGATCCGCTCGCCAGAGATCTTCTTACAATGGATTTAATTTTCGAAAACGCGAAGTCGATTGGGTTAAGCATGTAACTATAGGGAGACAAAAACATAACGTTTACTCCATTTTCATCAAAAAAGTTTTTTGTGATAATTGAGTGATGAATCCTCGCATTATCAAGTATAAAAATACAATTCTTAAAAATTGATTTTAAGTTGATCAAAAAACTGAATGAACTTATCTGAATTCACCGAATCAACAAATGTTTTAGCAAAGAGAACTTCATTTTCTGTTATAGCCGATATTAAACTTATATTGGTTCCACGCGTTGATGGAACTAGGGCATTTGCCGGTTTTCCTCTTGTAGATCTTCCCAAGGTTCTTCTTAAGTACAAATTAAAAGAAGATTCATCTATAAAAACTTTTATAAATATATCTTCAATGTTCATAAAATGTTGAGCATAAATTTGGCGTTTGTTTTTACTGGATTCCGAATTTATATTGACCGATGTATAAGAAATCTTTTTCAAAGTAATCTGAAGTCTATATATAAATTATCCTTCTTATATAAAGATTCAAGAGAAAGGCCTATAGAAAATATGTTTTCTATTTTTTCTCGAATTTCTACCATCGTTATTAACGGGTTTAATTCTATCAATTCTTCAACAAAATTGATAATATATATCACCGCATATCTTCTTATTTGATGGTTTTCCTGTTTTTTACTTCTCAACTCGCGATTCCTTTTTATACAACCTTATATATAATATTTGTAGCGGCCTGATAGTTTACATCTGTAAGAAATGCCGCATCCTTGACGCTGTATCCATCTTCAATAACTTTTTTTATAAGGCTTTTTCTTTTTTCATTCGAAATCAAGTTGTTTTTTCCATTTATTTCTGACATTCTAAGGATTACAAAAAATTTTAAAAAACGCTGTGGTTATTTTAAAAAACGCTGTGAAAATTTTAAAAAATTTTTTGGTTATTTTGAAAAAACCCTGTTAAAAGTTTAAAAAAACGAGTTGAAATACTATATATACAAATTCAATTTGAAATAACATGTACGTACACAAGGGGAACTGAAGATTCTAATATATATTGATACAAATTATTATTAAAAGTTGTGAAATGTTTGATGAATAATTTTGCTGTAAAACAGGGTCAACTTCAGTCATGATTTGCATGTGTAAAAATAAATTTTTATATACACTAATATCATTGAAACAATTGAACAATTTGCAGCTTAGGTGGTTAGTTTTGCTATAGTTGAATTATCTAAGCCTATTTCTGTTGGGGATGTTAGATCCCTAGAACTTGCTTGATAAATGTCTTCATTTTGGATTTTATTCATGGGCTGATCAGTTGACCTTGAAATCATATTTCCCACCAGGAAAAGCCTTGGCTGTGATTGGTTACTGTGTTATTTTGGTGTACTGTTTTTGTGACTCTTCCAAGAGAACGCGATTTGTGTGCTTGAATTCATTGTATGTTGGCTTGGTGTTTGTAGAATACAATTTCTACACTATATCAAGACTTCTTGCTGTGATACCTTTTGGTCAAGGGATTACAGTAGCCTACCTGGACGCTGATTCATTGTGATAGTTTTAAGCATACCTAGTGACAAGTGTGACAACTTCTTATATGCTCGAAACTATTAAGAGTTCAGCTTACTCGGTAAACGGAACAAATAGTAATGGCTCAGTTACACGACAGACTATTCTAATACGTTTGTCCCAGCCCCAGCAAACTAGATCAAGAAGTATATGATAAGGCGTAGAAAGTGTATTCTACAAGCACTCAGAAAATACGAGGTGTCTAAGCACACAAATCACCCTTATTTATACAATGATAGCAACGTCCTTGCGAGAGCCACTAAAATAATCCATCAACCAATGACAGTCAAGGATTTTCCAAGTGTGAAATGTAAGCTGAAGGTCAGCTGGCCCGAAAACATGGAAATTCAAAATTTCAGGAATAAATTACAAAATTAGGACCTTTTCCGAGTGAGTTTTTAGTAATTTAACGTCCCTATCAACTTCATGTAAAAAGAGACACAGATGATTTGGTCAAGAACAGTAATCGAAGCTCAGCACATCAACCATGTAGTTTACATAAATGAGAAGTGCTGATAACAAAAATTACCATTATTTCACTATGTACTTCACGTTTTCCAACTTGGGGACTAACATGATCAAAGAAAGCAGAGAAATGAATGTTAAAAGCGTATGTTTAGATGACAATGTATGTACTTGCTCGCTATACATAGATTAAAATTAAGTATCTAAGAGAAAGGGATCTTACAGAAATCAAACAACAATGTGTAGGTGATTGGGTGGATCGAGTTGGAACATATTTCATAATTGTTCCTTATTTGTATTCATGATTCACTTTGGTTTATTGTTTGTTCAATGTTCAAGAGACGAATATAAACTGGTTTATGTACATTTTTAGTCAGCTTTACAATGAAAATAGTTGAATATGATTTACCTTAATGCATTCACTATTAAACTATCCAATAAGTTTAGTCCAGTCTTTTGGTAAACTTCTCACTGATGGATTATCAATTTGAAATATTAGTACCTAATTGAGCAACCTGTTTTGGTCAATATTCTGTTGTTCTTTGTGCGTAGCATATTGTGGCTGAATTGAATTTGAAGTAGGGTTCATCACTTTGGTGACCCGGGATCTCATACCACTATGTATGAACAATTAAATATTCGCTCCGTCCTACTTTACGGATGCGAAACATTGCCGTTAATAATAGAGGACTTTCGTAGACTACTAGTCTTCGATCATCGATGTCTCCGAAACATTGTTGGTGTATCATGGGACAACCGAGTAAGCAATGCTGTCGTTAGGAAACGAGTACTGGGTAAGGATCGCAGATCAATAGATGAAGTAATGAAACTTCATCAGTTGAGGTGGTTGGGACATGTGTTACGTATGGCTAACCACCGACTGCCTCGACGAACTATGTTTTGCAGTGTGGGAATAGGTTGGAAGAAAGCTAGGGGCGGCCAAACCAAAACATGACAGAAATCCATGAAGTCACTGACAAGTGGACTGAGTCATGTTGGTAGATGTAGACTACCTGTTTGGGGTCCGCGAGACGATAGTCACCAATGGTTAGAGACCTTGAACAACGACATGGCTCAGAATCGTATTCAATGGCGCAGGTGCATCCACTCTTTGTGTGCTTTTTAATTCTAACCTTCTGAATTCCTCATACTCTCTACCTTACTCGTTCTAAATTTATCTTACTGAATTATACTTCTCGAATCATATCTTCGTTCCGTAATCTTCTCCATTACTGCTAATACTTCTATTATCGCTATCACTCTTGGGTTTGAACTGACAGTTGCGTCTCTGTGCTAATGCGCGGTATGGAAACCTGAACTGAAGTACTTACTTACGAAGTTCAGCGTTGTATCTGTCTGTCTGTCTATGAAATAAGTCCCTTACTCGATTATTGTGATAAGAAGCAGTTGGCAAGGTCGGAAGATTTGTGTGAAAAACTCGAGAGAAATGAATTGATTAGATTGTCCAAAGACCGAAGCAAGCCCTGTGGGCTCGCTATAGAGATACATACACTACAATATGCTTCATCCTATTATTGGATCTCTCAACACTGAGCATCCATGACCTCACTAGGTGTTGAACACAGGAATTTCAGTTTTTACTCAACAATCCTTTAACCTGCTGACTATTAGGACGATACTCAGTATTTTAGATTTACAAATTAAATCCATTGAGGGATTTATGCAACTATATTTCAATGTCACTGACAAAGAACTGTTTCACACATAGATATAGTTGAACTCCACCTGTAATAGCTTTTCATTAAACTCCACGAATTGTTTTTCTAAATGAGTAAAAAGATTTTGTAGCTTTTGAAAAAAAAACATCGCGCATAACGCAAATCTGAAATATTTTAGATTACATTTCGTACAGAATTAATGCATTTACACTATTGAGAAGTCTTCAGCTGCCAGAATTTCAATGATTCATCGAGTTGCTATTTTGTTCATAGTGAAAATTCTTTTTCTGAAATTGATGGATCGTAAATAATATTCCTATTGAGAAAAAGAAATTAAACTTTGTCAACATGAATTTTCAGAATTTGAGTTTTGTTATTTTTGAAATTTCAGCGTGTTGAAAACACTTAATCATTTATCCAGCCAAAGGTATTTGTTTGAAATACCTAAAAGTGTTCGATTATGTACACTTCTGACCTACTAAATAATACGATGTAGTGCCTCCACATATATTCCAGTTCTCTTACATCTAACTTGGTTAAGCCCTTTCGATTAATTTATTTAACCAAGTCATTGGTATAGCAACAATTTATATGTACCATTGGTATACAAATAGCTTGGTTAAATAGATTAATCGAAAGGGCTTAACCAAGTTAGATGTACGATGATTAGAAGCTATTGACGATAAATTCAGTTGATTATATTGTGGTGTGAGCTACATTTATAAGTAGTATATGACGTGAGTGTCAACGTAATGTCTGGCAGCCGAAGAAGATGGGGGGAAGATCAAGAGAAAGGAAGAGTTAGAAGAACACAATGGAATTTTTGTATGAAATGCATGAATAGTGACAATGGATTGTTGATGTTTTGCAACAGGAACAGTTCAGTTCGATATGATAATGGACTGATATTTTGCAAATGAACGATTTACGATATGGTTTTCCTATTTTACTGAGTAACAAGTTTTGTTTTACTTGAAAAATGACTGTAATTATGAAAAGTAAAAAGTTAATGTTCTTTCTATCTTATTTTGATCATTGAAACATGAAACGATTACCACTAATAACACAGTGATCTGTTGTATAATCCAAATTCTATATGAATATATTACTATGATTCAGTATTGTTGATATGTTGTACATTAAACCTGGTACAGGACTAGTTTGCATTTTGATAGAACAATGAGAAGACGTAATTTATCTAAAAAAATAATGTGATGTATTTGCGCGATAGATATTTCGGAAACAATGTGGTCACACACATACCACACTTGTCAAGGCAGTTTACACATGAAGATGAATAAAAAGTCAATTATATAACAGTTCAAATAGACATAAGGTGATCATTGTAAATATAAAGGAGAGAGAGAGAGAATTAACGTAATATGGAAAGAATTAAAAAGGGTAGGAAAATTGTCACATTACCCTAATCTTAAAGAATACCAGAGTAGATTCAAGATTGTAACAAATGGTTTCTGTACACATAAGAGGTGGGTGGGGGGCTTTAATGTACGAATAACCAAGGCTTCCGTAAACCCGAGCAATCATCCTTGAACATTTCTATACATCACACTATTTTTCAAATCAATTACCTGTTCTCACTGTTCTATCAAAATTTATTAAAAAGGGACTAACAGTGTGAATTTGCTTGGTCTTCATTGGAAACAAATAGTTTTTGAGATGATGGAGAAGATTTGTAGCTCAGGTGGATGATTGTGGTGGTGGTGTTTGGTTCTCTGAACTGGATGTTTTGGTTGTGGAGCTTTTATTGTTCTTCTGAACAACATCATCAGCACAAACTTCAAATAGAAGAAGTGAAGCATTCGAATTTCTCCACGGTTGACATGTAGCTTGTTCTGCTAACCTCGATCTCGATTGGTTGCTATTGGCCTTAAACCTGTCGTTGTTTGCACCTTTGTTTTGATTGTATCCCCCACTTTTGATCTGTTTCTTGATCCTATGTCACCTATGATTTTTCTGATTAGTTAATAAATTGTGTCAATGTCGATATGTTTGTTGATTGCTGATTGATTGATCTGAGTGCCAAGCTTCTAAAAATTCCCTAGTGTTCTTAGTCCTCCCCCTATCCAGAGTATTTCCACATTGTTCCAATCGAATGTTCACATTCACATACATGAATGTTTAGATAATAAAGGTAAACCTTACCGATATTAATCTTCACCTCTATCGAATTCGGAAAAAAACATTTTGTCTTTTAGTTGTACGTGCTATGCACGCTTTTACTGTTTGTTATTTGTATGAAAAAGAAATTGATTTATACATTTATTTTCCCCTTAAAAAAAAGATTATTCAAATCGCTCGTCCAATGAAAAGAACTAGGAAAAAAGTGAAAACCGATCAGTTTGTGAAGAAACTTATCAAATCTGAAAATTTATTCAAATTATCATCACCATTTCCGAATATTGTAAGTTTGATTTTGATTGGTTAAATGATCTGATTGACTGTATTAAAAATTTAGTGAAATACTTTTGTCAAGTTTATTCCTTTTTCGTACTATATATTTAAATCAATCGTATAGAATGCGAACTAGGATCGAAATATACAATAATTCTTTTCTGCTTTGAATTTATTATTTGACTTATGACTTTGAAAGTTATCGAATTGACCAGACAAAAGATTGGAGTTCAACCCTGTCGGGTGTAGTCAGTAACTACCAAAGACAAATGGGTGAGGTCGAGCAAATTCCCTAGAACAATCAGAGTTAGACATTAACACCGTTGGATGCCGGCCCAGTGGTCCGATGGTTAGGCGTTCGCCTACAATGCCAAAGGTCCCGGGTTCGAATCATGCGAGGAGCAGGAGTCGTGGATGCGCACTGCTGATGGTGTTGGTCTAACAATGATTGATTGATGATTTCAAATGTGTAAAAAATCGCAAACCTCCAAAACTGTGCCCCAAAAGATTGCATAAATGTTCACTGAAATCATGCTATTTACCTCATAGCCGGTTTAATTCAACATAATCTGTTATGCTCGTCACCTGATATGCTTGAAAGTATTACGGGTGTTCACCTTAGTTGATAAACGAGAATGAGACAATGAACCAGTGTCTTGAATCGAAACGGCTAAAGAGAAGTCTTGATATAGTGTAGAAAGTATATTCTACAAACACCCAACACAAATCGCGTTCATATATATATATCCTTGAAATGTCCTTGGGAGAGTTACAAAAATAGCACATCCAGAATAACACAGTAACCAATCATAGCCAAGGATTTTCCTGGTGGGAAATGTGATCTCATGGTCAACTGATCAGCCTATGCATACAATCCAAAATGAAGACATTTATCAAACGAGTTCTGGAGATCTAACGACCCCAATATAATCAATCATTGTTTCTCATGAAATATTTGACCGGGTTTATTATTGTGATGACTTAAACTGAAACTTTGTCATGAAGTTATAATTACGGGATAAAATATTAAAAACAAAAGGAAACTTAATGTAAAATTCATTATAAAGAATTTCAGAACTTCCTGGTTTTTTTGCGCACCCATAAATCTACACGGGATCTCATGTTCTCACCATGAACACGATACATTTAGACCATTGGGTGGGTTAGAAAACAGTAATCTAAATGATCAGCTCTATTATAGCCAATAGATTTGTGCTACATAGATTGACAGTCGTTCAATACTGTCGGTGATTTTGAACCCAACTGGTTACAGCTCCTTGTTCTTTAATGTTCCTCTAGGTTATATATATATCACTTCATGTGGAAGACTGATTTTAAATTGTCAAGTTTACAACACCCTTAATTATTCTAATATATTCAAAAAAATTTCTAGTAATCATATTCGTCTTAGTTGAGTTTCCGATAAGTTCACAAGTGCTAACTAACATAAGGAACTACACAAATCCAAGCGTAATCTTATCATATATGGTAGCTAGCGATATTAACTGGCTATTGAAATCGAAGTTAGTCGGAATAGATTGTGTATGTACTTTTGGCGAGATCTTCTTTAAGTTGCATTCCTTAATCTTCCAGTAAAGAAACTTGTTCCTTAATATGTTTGATTTAAAAATTGTGGGAAATTTGTGAAAATTATTTATTATCACGAGACTTTATACTACAAATAATTCCTACGAGTTATATATTCTGAAAAAAAAATTAATCTTCGGTGTTTCTAGACACAATAGTGATTATTATGAGATGGTAGAGAAAATTTGTAGCTCAGTTGGATGGATGATTGTGGTGGAGTTTCATTCTCCAACATGAATGTTTTTGTTGAGGAGCTCTCTTATTATTCTCCAACTACTGCACAACAACATCAGCAACATAAAGTTCAGATAGAACTGAACTACTTCACGTTTGACTCGTAGACAAACATCAGATAAACAAACAGAACAAAGAAGGGGGGGATACACTCAAAATAAAAGTGCAAACAATGACAGGTTTAAGGTCGATAACAACCAATCAAGATCGAGGTGAACAGAACAAGCTACGCACCAAACGTGAAGAATTGCGAATAATTCACTTGTTCTATCTGAAGTTTATGCGGCTGCTGATGCTGATGTTGTGCAGTAGTAGGAGAACAATGAGAGCTCCACAACCAGAACATCCAGGTCAGAGAACGAAACTCCACTAAAATGATTTTATTATGTATGTCATTGAAACAAGTATGTTAAACAAATTATTTTTTATCTTTAGGTTCGTAAATTTTTCCACCATTAAGAAAGGGAAACTGAAAAGTCAGAAGGAACACAAAACCATTCATCTTTTCCTTCAGGACTATTTAAATTTCTTCAAGATATAAACACTGATAATGTTAACGTATCACTAAATAACTATTGTCCATTGTTTGATATGTTCTATTCATAGGTTTAAACTAGTCAATTAGTTTTATGACTTCTCTATATCTTTAACTGCTTGTTTAGTTTTCTCTTGGTTAATTTGAGCTTAGATTGGTTTGAATTGAAGTTAATGCGTGACTTTAGAGTTTCGGTACTACTACTACTACTGTGTGAATATTAATTTCATGTAGTGAGCAGATGCAATTTTCGCATTTATAAAATAACAATATGATATTTAGTAGTCAAAGGCATTCGGTAAGTAACGCATAGAACTAGTTGCGCAGCTAGTCGGTACTTATCAAAGGTGTAACCACTCAGTTATTCGCCGTGATTTAACAAAACATTCTCATTGAGTTTCAACCCGACCGAAGCTGCTACCTTGACGTGGTGGTCGGGCTTGCCTATCGTCATGACCCAACCGAGCTATATTGGCTGGAACATATGTTCTTGAAGGTTCTACCATACAAGGCAGGCCGGTCGATTGGAGAACGATGAAACTAAAAGCAGCTACCCAAGGTCTGAGGGCGAAGTTGTGCTGCTGACTGTGATGGAGGGGTGTGACAGCAGTACGGTGTTTCCCTCGGACAACCAGCATCTGCAGCGATACTGCCTTCTCACAAGGGAGGAAAGGTTAGAAAAGGTTGACCCTAAAAATGTCACACCTCACCCTACCTCACGGATTTCCGTCTCCTTGGGTAAGGGTGCCCACTAAGGGCCTTAAAGAGCGTAGCTGATAATCAAAAAACCTTTCATAAAAGGCCGTGCGTGACCGGCCTCAAGCAGTTGTCCCTTGGACTCTGCGGTCACGCACCCAGGTCTCTAAGACCAACGCTAATCTATTTTCCTTTTCAGGTTCCTCAAGAAACAACCTTCCAGGGTGTGGACAGCCGGGAAGTGATAACTGCCCTCATACCCGTAACAGCACACGAGACAAAATGGGTGAAAATCAAATTCTTCCTACACCCCCTAGTACCTCTCTTATCTCCACGACTAACTCTTCTCACATTCCTTTATCACAGTGCACAGCTAATGCAAACGATGCGAGTTCGCGAAACGTCGTTCCTGGTCTCCTTAAACCTCGTTCTAGTCTACATGTTGGAGCATTTATTGTACGGATATTGTGTCAAATAGGGCAACAGGCATCATTAGCTAAGACTTTAGAATCTCGTTCCATCGATGTGTGCTGCGTCTCGGAAACGCGCATACAGGATCCGAGTAGCATCATTCACTTGACCTCACCATGTCAATGAATGGCTTTAGAGTTTCGGTACTACTACTCATGTGTGAATCTTGGTTTCATGTAGTGAGCAGATGCAATTTTCGCATTTATAAAATAACAATATGATATTTAGTAGTCAAAGGCATTCGGTAAGTAACGCCTAGAACTAGTTGCGCAGCTAGTCGGTACTCATCAGAGGTGTAACCAATTAGTTATTCACTATGATTCAACAAAACATTCTCATTGAATTTCAACAGTTAATATGTAGAGAACTAGTTTGATGCAACAAAGAACTGTCATCAAATAGTAATAATTCGAACTTGTCGGTTTGATAATCTTTGAAATTTATTCTAGGGGGGGGTATTGATTAACATGATTTCTGTTATAAGGTTTATTTCTATCGTGAAAGTTAACTGCAGATAGGAAAGCAAACTTTAAGAAGCGAATAGTTTAATAGGCTAAGTCCACTCGTCAATCCATGAAGTCATTGACAAGTGGACTGAGTCGTGTCGGTAATTGTCGACTACCTGGTTGGGGTCCGCGAGATGATAATAATAATCGATGGTTAGAGACCTTGAATGACATGGTTCAAAATCGTTCGCAATGGCGCCGGTGCATTTATTCTTTGCGTTCTCTCAAATCCTAACCTTATGGATTTGTCAGCACCTCTACCTTTGTCTTTCTAACCTTATCTCACTGAATCATACTTCTTGAATAATATCTTCTAATCCTAACCACTCTGATTACTTCTAATACCTTTACTACCTCTTCTACTATTGGATTTCAATTGACAATTATATCTCTGTGCTTATGTGGTATGGCAACATGAACTGATGTACTTACGTACGAAGTTCTATGTTGCATCTGACTGACTGACTGAGTTTAATAGGTTACACGAATAACGGAAAAAATAGTCGGTAATATTTTCATTTATTCTATGCCAGTCCTATTCTAAACAGAACTTTTTTAGAGACATCATATGTTCAAAAATAATAAATTTAATACTCACACATTTACGATTGATTAAATGGGTCACCGAATATCCTTCTGTGATAAAGAAAATTTGTAGCCCATGTGGATGATTACGATAGAGTTTTGTTGTCTGGCCTGAATGTTTTGGTTGTGGAGCTTTGATTGTTCTTATGAACAATATCATTAGTACAAAATTCAATTAGAAGTGAAGTATTTGAATTTCTCCACGCATAACTCGTAACTTGTCCTGTAGACCTCAATCCTGATTGGTTGTTAGTGACCTTTGAACTCCCACTGTCTCCCTCACTATATTGATTTTATTCTCCTTTGATTTGGTTCTTGATCCCATACTTGTCTATTGTTTTTCTGATCGGTTAATAAATTGGATCAATGATGACGTTTGTTGACTGCCGATCACAT